ACTAAATTTCAAAGATTTTTATACGAAACGAGAGTAGTACGGAAGCTAGTGAAAGAAAATTTATTTTGTTTAACCGGTATATTCCTACTCCTCTCTATAACTCGAATTTCCTTTCGTGCCACAGATATAACTTTAATTTACGTAACAAAACGCAACGGAGAACTTTGCATGAATAATCCGTGCATTTTATCATAAAATCACCGTTGAATAAAAACCATTCTCGCTCTAGTTTCCTCGAAACACCCGCTATATCTCGAGATACATCCAGCCTCACCGAGATATCTGTCGTTGTTTTCACCTCCATCATGGACTTTTATGTTTTACCAAGTTTTCAGCTTTAAAGTCTGAAAATTCTTTTAACGAGTATCTGCATTGTAAGAAAGGCACGGCTTTTAAGCTTCTCACTCGTTGGAGGTATTTCTTGGAACAGCAAGAAATTGCCTGGTTCTCGCGCTTAAATGCGCTTATTACGCTGTATTCCTCGAGAAAAATTTGAATTGGTCTTAAAAGGGAAAAGCGAAACTTACAGAGAAAGAAACGAACCGATGTCTGATCGGAGTAATTTTACACGAAATTTCATTGACAACTACCTTACGAGATAAAATAAACGAAGAAGAAACTCTAGTAGAATAATAAAGAAGTTTTTTCTTTGAATATTTAATTAATTATACCCGAGAAATATGCCAACAATTTAGAAAGCAGCGAGATATTCTGAAATATTACTCCGTACATTTATCCTACTCTAATGTTTCGAAATATTTTTGGAATTTAGTTGAAATATTCAACAATTTTTCCTCATTGTCGTGAACTAACGATCGGCTGATCAATTAGGTTGCTATGCCGTGGTATGATAATAACAGTAGCGGCCGAAAAGGAGAGTGGAAACAATGTAACACGTGTAACGCGTCAGATGGAGACGAAGACAAAGCGTGGCGCGGAACTAGCGTGCAGAATTACGAGAAGATCGCGTGCTAAACGATTCTCCTCTTTGACTAGCCCCTTCCTTTTCTCTCGTTCTTTCTCAGGCTCGTGGTTCTTCCTTTCGCACGACGGTTGTTACGTCATACCACAAAACGGTGGAAAACGACGCGAGAATGGAGGAACGTAAAGGGTGCAGATCGCGGCGATACGATTGATAATGAGCATTACATTGCAGGCACGTTGCCAAATATCGCGCGCGTGAACGAAATCGCGATCAGATCGTTGGAAAATTAATTTTCTGGGTCGGAGAATCGCGCCAGGGTCAAAAATTCACGAGGATATTGATAACTCGAAGGAGGAAAGTTAGTCGCAGACCTTCAAAGGTAATTTAATTCCGGCGCGTTTCTATACTTTGAAAGCTGTGGCAAGACGCGGGAAATAGCAGCGAAAAAGTAGTGGACTGAACGAGGCGACAGTGAAATATTTTTGCCTTTCCATCGACGGCGTAAGAATCGCGTGGAATTCACAAGAGAGAGTGCATGCGTTTCATTCATCACAACCTTAATGACCTCTCTGTTAAATTAATGTCCTGGGTTCTATCGAGACGCGCATGGGGCTCGTTTGACTGCCAGGGTTGGGTTATTAACATTAAACTCAACTTAGAAGAGCTGAAACACTTCTGAATACATTATTTATGCTTTATTAGTGACAGTCTTTCGAAAAGCAAAAAGATATTAATTGTTCGACAGAAATTTGTTACTTAATTTAGCTACGGTTTACGTATATAATGAAACATATTGTTCGGATCTGTGTTTTGACTTAACGAATACTCGATGTTTTTGCTTTAATTTTGTAGCTCGTGTATCGCATATTTACTATATCACAGTTTGATAAAAGAGAGAAACACAATGTGCTCTGCGAAATGAGCATAAATCAATTTTATACCTTTCAAACCCGATGCATGGCACGTAAAACTCTTTAAAAACAATGGGCCAATGCGATGTTGTCTGCTATCAACTACAGCTTTCCCTTTGTTGCTGCACAGATGATAACGCAGCAGGACTTGCGAAACTGAGCGAAATTTTTTACGGAGACCGTGCGGATGGTGGCATATTTTTTATCTTGTACGTTTAACATTTTAGTAAATAAAACCAACAGAGAATTACCTGACGACGCATTAAAATTTTCACAAACCATGTAACATACCAATATAAAATCTATACGATTATTTCAACAGAATTTAAACTAAAAAACAATTGATTAGAGTATTTAAAAAGGTATCACATAGTCATCGCCTCGAAGAAATTTGGATGAAAGAGATGTTCGCAGATCACGTTTAGATCCGTGTATAGAAAAGCAAATCAGACTGCCCTACGCTTTCTTCCGACTCGTTGCTCGTTAAAGCTACGTTTATCGGTGCACGCAAATCAGGCTAGAACGTCAGACAAATGGTAATCGAGAAGCGTGATTAAAGTGATCGCACTTCTAATGGAGAGGAAAGTAGCAAATAAGAGACAAGAAGAAGCGAAACTTGCCTGTCAGTGATAGTCTAAGGGCGGCGTCGTCTTTCGCTTTCCTTTTCCCTCTTATCCGTGATGCATTGCATTCTACAGGGGCGGCCGCGCGAGCGTATAATGCACGCCGGATTCTCGAAACCGAAAAAGGAAATAGACAAGACCCTTAACTGAAATCAGGAATGTGAAGCGGATGGTAGTTTAAAAGGATTCGCCTTGGTTGGCTCCTTGTCTCGGCTATTTTTTCCTCTTCCTGTCCAATAATCGCATTCTACTTGTTCCACTACCTCCTCTTTGACCCATTCCCAGTTAAACTACATCTATTTCTATGGTATACAGGAATGTATCTCTTCGCGTTTCCCCGCTGATCCTCGCGTTAGTTTCTCGAGCCTGTACGCGCGAAACTTCTGAATACGGTGTATTGGATATTTACATAACCTTCGTGGTCAGAAAACTATGTGCTACTGAGACGTGATCCGCATACAAATGGAACTTTGAATCTTTTATTCTTTCACCTTTCCCATATGTATTTTCTTGGACGCATAAGTGAAAAATAAATTTATCGCACGCGATTCTAGCAATTTGCTAGATGTTTGCGATTGCACATTTCGATGATCAACATGAACCAAATAAATATTATATTAATTCTCTCGTTTTTGTTTGTAATAAATACGTATTCTGTGAAATTACGGAGTACTGAATATTGCAGAATCCTTTTCCAGATGTCAGGTAAATTTTATCAATATTTTATTCACATCACGTAATGAATATTCTCTCGAGTGTCCTATATCTATATCTATTTTAATATCTACTAAAAATATTTCTTTCTCAACATTTCTTTCATGGATATGTCTATAGATATAAGTAATTACGAATCTCACTTAATCGACACTCTATAAAATACTCGAATTGTTCTGATCTTTCTCTTTCTCCGTTCTCGTTTTGCCCGTAATTTAGAAACAACGAGGAAAGTTACAAGGACCGATAGCGAAGACATGTTACGGCACATAGATTCAACCTTTAAAGTTTACGGTCGTGTATCAGTAAAATTGTATCAATATCAGTCAGTTTCGATTTTTGTAACGATATCCCACGATACGTCGACAAGTGCCGCAACTGATACGGTTTGCGTGTAAGGATTCAATATCGTTCGATGGATTCAATTGCTTTATGATGTTCAACGGAGAATTCCGAGATGATTGGAACATTATTTTTTATATAAACTTATAGAATCCAATGTTTCGTGTTACATGAAAAAGAGAATTAATAAAACGGTGTTTCATAAAGCAAAAACCTCTTCTAAATTTAATGCGTGTCGTCGCTGATAACGAGGAACGATAATTTAACTGGAAGTAATAAACGACAGTTACATGCGTATTTACAACCTGGCAAGACACTGCGTTTAACTACGTTTTTCCGTCTCACTTTGCTTCCCGTGCACCCGCGAAACTTTAAACAGCAACACGGGCTGTAGCTATGTCTGCACGGGCACGCAATTAAAAAGAAGAAAACAAAAAAGCTTTTAGTGCGCAGTAAAAACCATAAAAGGAAAAGATTACACGGTGTAATTTCGTGCAGAGGGAAGAAACCAGTTTCGTTGGTACGCGGCAACAAAGTGTCACAAAAGGAAGTGTAAAAGCGCTTGTCTAGATTTAGAACCTCAATTAAGGCTATGGAGAAGGAGAATCAATGCAGAAACACCGAGTAATCCATCCACTTCCATGGACCGCGACAGTGACTTTTGTTCAAGTAGCATGAACAAGTAAATATAGAGATAGAAAGAGAGAGGAGAGAGAAAAAGACGAAAATAAAAAAAAAGGAGACAGAAATAAACGGGATGCTACACCATTGCCCATCGACTACTAACCTAGCGTTTCGTTTCTGAGGCTAGGAAACGAAGAAAAAGAAAGAAAGAAAAATAAACAGTCGAAGTTAGCGATCTTCGCGCATTTCTGTTTTGAATGTGTTCTATTATTCTATTCGGAAGGAAGCGTGGAAACTTTGCGCGATTAAAGTTCCTCCATTGTAGAAAGTTAATCGTGTGGAAAATGATTCCGTAAAAATCTCATTATTTTTTTCTTTCGTTTAACTTGCTTTAAGCGGTTTTATACATTTAACCGGTGTATTATCGGGATATGAAGAGAAAATATCGTTCTTAACTATGTACCGAATGAGGTTTATTTATGCGTACTTCATAGATTTATGTGCAATATATTAATTATTATTTTTGTCGTTTTGTTAATTGGTTCAAAATTTGTTAAAAATTTACAGACAAACGAGTCGAAGAAATTGTCGAAGGAATTGTCTTTGAAGTCTTAATTTTCTAATATATTTTATAACAAAAAAAAATAAAAATCTTGAGATCTGCTCCGACTGGCTACTGCTATTTAACAGATATGGTTCGTTATTCAAACTTTCCACGATCTAATCCATAATCTTCACGTCCCTATTGTTATATATTCCATCATTCAAGGATGTCGAAAGCGTCGAAACAACCGATCGATCAATGCGATCATCCTTTTGTTCCGAATAAAAATCAACTATGATAAAAAACTTGGCACTTACCTTATCTAAGCGCTCCTCAGCCTCGAAAATCCCAGATCCGTGACACCCTCTACCGCTGTAGCACCGGTGACATTCTTATCCCTTCATTGGACGCACCTTCAACACCCTTAAACACTGCACGATGCCGCGCCGTTCACGCTGTATCACACAAGAATCACGTATCTGGTTAACTACGTTTCTCTGGCATGTCTCAATCCGCGTGTCTCAACGACGATCAAATTAAACACGCCCCCCTCTCGAAAGCTATCCTGATTTTCCGGACCAAATAAACAATTTAAACGCGTCTTTGATCGACATACGACTTCTTTTGCTCACGAACCGGAACATCACTCATATTCGACGAGCAAAGATAACGGAAGAGCTCGATCGAAAAAATAAATCATATATAAATTTTTGCATGAAACCCGGCTCAACGATCAACCATGCTTTACGTTTGCTGTCATGATCTGTTTAGGTTTTGTTTCGCGACGAGACTCAAGAAATTTACGACAATATAGAGCAGTGACACTCCTTAAGTGGTTGAAGGTCGACGACGAAGAAGTAGAACGAATGATCGCGAAGGCTGTCGCCGCGTTCAGCTGTCACGTTCAGCCGGTGAAAGAGTCGATCACGTGGCTTTTCGTACGCCTCGCCGTCACTCGCATCTAGCAACACCGTTACACCTTCTCGGCGATCAGTCGAGAACTGCGTTCACCACGGCTCCCCACCCGACGCTTTGGGGGCAGGACGCTCAACGTCGCTAGCTAGACACGACGCGCGGCGTCGCTCCGCCTCCACGTGCAACTACCTGCACCCCTCCGCCGTGGTGAGCCCTCACGGCTTCTCTACTCTTCTTCCTTGTCCGTTTTTGGCCGGTTTGCTTCACGCCGCTCTTCCCCTGTTCTCTTCGCGTCTGATCGTGCCACTTCACGCCGCACCTCTTCCTCAAGATGACCGGAGAACCCTTTTCCACGATAGAGCATCCCCTGTGACCATCGACACGCTTCTTCCGATCAAGTTTATTATAGTTAACGGATAAAAGCGATCAATATGTGCGAAGATCAGTGAGCTAGAAAAAAGAGAATAATTTTGTGGTTGATACTTCCTGTATGCTTGATACGAACTTGAAGTGAGTATAATCGATTATAGGTTTTCATTTTAATTTGGTAATTGAGAATCGATAATTGGGATAAATGGATTGGTACTAGTGTCACGATCGGTGGTGCATAGCGATGGTAGATGAATAAAATGCGATTTGAAAAATATGTATAGATGAAATTATGAAAAATTAACAGATATCGTTGAAAACACGTAGATTGTATAAAATATTTTTCAATGTGACACATAATCGTTAATCCCGACATGACTCGTAAGCATGAAAATGCTGAGAGGGATATTGTATCTCTGGAAGAACACTCCGTTTTTTGGCAAGTGTGCAAATTCCGACAGATCCGTTACATATGTAAATTAATGTTGCATACACGTTTTCTCTATTCACGAAACCATCGCAAGAAGAAACATCAAGCTTTCTCCAACTCCAAACGAAACAACGAATAATACAACTTCATAGATAAAACTATACTTCTGTATGTACGATCGTTTGTAATATTATTTCTCATTTCGCGTAATAAATCTCTGATTAAAGCTTACATCTGCTTCGTAAAGCGTGGTAGATGAAAATTGTTAATAATCCGATAAGGGATATCTGTTTGTTAAAATGAACTCCATTTTTAATACGTAGTACGCACAAAAGCAACTGTAACGCGTGTAATCGATGGAATGGCAATCTACTGTCCACTTCGTTAATGAAACAGATATAACGTTCGAAATGAGATGCAAATGGCCCAGGGTGTGGTTGAAATGCAGATACGAGCGGCGAAGTTTTTATTTACAACCCCTATAACGAGACCGACCAGCATAATGCGTTTTTTCGAATGGATCGGTCGTATTTCTCTTCGTTGTCGGATGTATTTCTCTTGTCACTTTCTCCCTTCCCCTTACGTTCCCCTTTTCCATTTATCAATCCCTAGCACGGTGATATTTTAAAGACTTAAAACAGCTGACGCACAGATTTGAAGTACTTCTGACGTAAACCTTCTTTAATTTTTTTACATCTGGTTAAGTCCAACGAATTTCACTTTTCCGTTGAATCGTGGACTTTGGAAGCACTATTTATCCTTTTTCCTTTCCCTAATCCTCTGTTTTGCGTGCCATTTTTTATAATGTGCCTGAAATTTTTATAATCTAGCGTTCATAAGAATCTTCGGGAAATATTCTATGAAAAAGCAAAAACTACTTATCCCCAGATAAAGACATAATACTTATAATACAGAAACTTCGGCGCAGCCGTAAGCTATAGATGACTACGGAAAATGATGAAAAATCCAGTTTAAAGCATAAACGAGATAGCTTCCGAACCAAAAGCTTCGTCGTGTCTTACAGACGCTTTCCAAATTCTCGATTAAGGTTCAATGATATTTGTCATCGTTCTCTATCTCTGAGATATCGATTCTGTGGAACGATAAACAGAGAATCAAACTAATCGTTGAATCTTTCGATCAAAACGAAAAAAAAAACGAGAAAAAAGGATCACGTGGTGCGGTGAAAATCTTATTTGAGCATCTGTGTTACGATGAATTAGAGTTAAGACGCTATATCTGCCGTTTAAATAACGTACTACGATACTACCGTTTTCGCGTGACAAGGAAGGAATCGAACGGCGGATAATATTTGAGTTGTCGAGGCCATCAAGTCTCGACACAGAAGAGATGAGGATGCAGGTTAAGTAAGTGGTTAGGAAGACGGCGTTGCCCAAAGTAATGGAATAAAAACACTCGACCTCGATGTTACCATGATTGATTTGGGCGGCATTATCTTTCACCTTCTCTTCTCGTCCGGCAAGTAGATGTGTCAAAAATTCCATTGAAAAACCCTTGTTTCTTCGTGTTTTATGAAAACAATAAATGTCCATCACCCAGGCATTATTTCCTGGCTTTAATGATTTATCCTTCTCTTGTCTTTTACTTCGGATTACCAAATCCTGTTTATCAAAATGTATCCATAGCAATTAATCAAAGATCGAATAAAAAATAATATTTGGATACCTATCATCCAACTTTCCAATTGTTATTTTCTACGAAGCTAATATATAAATAAAATCCATTACTTCCTAAGGTTGTCTAAAAAATTACTACAAAATATTCTGTAAGGCAAGATCGCCGACGAACGTGTAGAATGAAATACAGCTCTTAAAATTTTTATTTCTTAAAGAATGAAAATTAGTTGAAACGTATAACAGTGAAATGTAACGAACGTAGCGTCGCTGAAATTACGAGAATCAACTCATAGAATGTCGTAAAAGTAGAATGTTCGGTTTCATTAATGTGCACAATACCAAACGCATACGTAGGTGCTGGGAGATGGTAAGTAGTACGTGTTCCGCAGCCCTTTTATAGATCCGTGACTGCTTCCGATACCGTATACGCCGGACTGTAATTAGTCTGTAGGACTGGATCCAGCTTTCAATGGACCTTCAATGAGCGCTACTAATGACGACCGGATGACGCATCCGGAATGCCTGTTTAAATGATAGTATGCTAATTCAATGGCAAGCATTTCGTTTTTGCGCATATCGTGAAACACATCTGATTTCGTGTTTCAGTTAACACCGTACTTCCTCGTTGTCCCGTCTAACAATATGCATCGCGCGTGTAATCTATCTTAAGAGATACAAGAATTTCCTAATGTAAACGTCGTCACGGTGAATCGATATTTCGATTATTATTTTTGTATAATGTGCTTGATATTTAACAATTTTTATTACATTTCTCAAATTCTATCGTTGATGCGTCGAATATAGCGAAATTTAAAAATTACGCAAAAGCCTGAAGCCTGTAAACTTTCCGAATCGAAGAACTCTCAAGCAGGATTACATTATTTTTTACGACGCAACGGAATTCGATCATTCCTGTTCGATTTTCTATAACATGACAATGTTTGATCTAATACTAGGTTGGATTTACGTATAGAAGGTATAGGAAGTAGATCGGGGGCGAATGCGAATTCCTATGCGATCCCTGGCCGGGAAGGAGGACTGCGAAAGACACGAAAACGTAAACAGTGACTTAAATCACCGTACACGCCTCGGGGAAAGATCGAAATACGGTGTACGTCGGAAGGATACCTCGGCGAACGTGGCGGAATGATGAGGTGTCGCGCTAGAATAGACAAGGAGGACTTTCCGGTCCGCTATTCCATCCGATTCCGTAATCCATTCCGGATACCAACGGCGTTCTACTCCTTTTTTCTCCTCTTTCCTCCGTCGTCCTTCTTCAATCGGTCGGGAAAGGCGATCCAGGACAGGATACAGGACATCAGTCTTTTCTGTCTTCGCTACGTTCAGGGCTGCAGATTCCACCGAGAAATTCCACGCTCGATTCGTCCTCTTGCGTTCAATACAAGCGCCGCTCTCGGATTCGCCGCGTACTGTGTTCCGTTTTCCTTTCATGGACTCCCTTTCTTCCATCGTGGAATCCTCAACATTCAAATATTCCTTTACGTGGAAAGGGAATGAAGAAAGAAGGGAGTAATCCAAGTAAGACAGGACAAAGGAACGAAGAAGAAGAAAGAACGAATCGGACAACCAAACGAAGAGAAGAAGGGCGACGCGAGAAAGCAAAACGAAACGAACAGGTGAAGGTGAATGGTAAAATGAAAATATGAAACGAACAAAACGACGACAGAGGTGGATCGTGCGACGGGAACGAAGAACTAAAATTAGAATAGAACCAGGACGGAGAGAGGAGCCATGGAAAGCGGTGGAAAATCGAAAAGGTGGTTAAACCGAGAAACGGTGAAACGAGTGAGAGAGCCGGGACAGCTACTTGCGAGAGGTTGGGTATACACCGGGCTCGCATTCCAAGCAGACTTGGTGAACCGGGTTCATTATTTTCTCGTTATAAGTTTCTACAACTCGAGCTTGTTGTCGTAACGCTGTTAACGCGGACGCGTCGCGAATTGTTAAAACGGCTGGCGAACGATCAGCGCGCGTATATATTCGGCGGCTTCCTTAAACCCCGTGTCACGCGCCGCCCTACCACTTCGTTCCTTTTCATCCTGGCCTCTACTCAACCGCCACTCTCATCCTCTAATACCCATTCCTCGCTCTACTCCCCCTTTATCCTCTTCTTTTTTCGTTTATTAATAAACGAGCCACTGTCACTTGCCTCTCTCTCTCTCTCTCTCTCTCTCTCTCTCTCTCTCTCTCTCTCTCTCTCTCTCTCTCTCTCTCTCTCTCTTCTTTCTCTCCTTTCTCTCCTTTCTTTTCTTCAGTCTTTTTCCCTTCAGAGGCGGAGGATATTGGAAAAGGCAGAGGGAAGAACAAGAGGACGAAAGGAAAAGCTAGTAACGACACGACGAAAGGCCAGTACTCGTCTCGTTGTTCCTTTGCAATACCCAGCGGAATTATTGAACAACTCGGTGACTTGATGTGCTAACTCTAACTTCCTCTCGAACACGGCAAAGTGTTACCGTTGAAAGTGGAGCACAGTCACAAGTATCGTGAGCGTCATTCGTAAAGGATCGCACCTGACGATGCCGCTTTAATGGTGACTTTAATTGTACCCTTTGATTTCAACACGTTCCCTACACTGTCGATTCCATGCGCCCTCTACGCGATTTCTATCCCTTCTATCTTGCCAACATTAAAAAGTGACGATATTCACGGACTAGAGGATTGTTGCTCGAAAAACTAAGGTTTCTTGTTACTCCGTGTTACCTTTATACAAGTGTTCGGCTACTGTTTCAACATAATTTAAGGGCTAATTCTTGACGCCCAAATAAAATGAAAATCAAGAATAAAACATTACGTTTTCGGCTTTTTTTTTTTTTTTTTTTTAGTTATTGACAATTAAAAATCGGCCAAAATATCGCCTGCACGCGAGCAAACCTCCTTACACGAACAAAGGAAGGTCAGCCTAAGTAGCGGGGCGCACAGCGATCCTCATCCGAACGACACATGAGCAACAGCTTACCTCGTACAGGTTGTAGAGAAGACTATGGTATTTAGAGACGTAAGCAACCCCGCGCGACGTTTTGCAAAAGAAATGATAAATTGAACGTTAAACTTACTTACTCGTGGAAAACCATAAGAACATATCGAAAACTGCTCTATGAAATTTGCGCGAGTTTTTGTTAGCCAAAATGTATACATTTGCAGAATTTTCGGACATGCAAAGTATTTTCAAAATAGATTGTGGGATACCGGTACGTTAAATTGTGTGAAATGTATGCAAGAAAATAAAAGAAGAAAAATCTTTGCAAATGGATGAGTTAACTCACAGTAACTGAAAAACAAAGCCGAAAACGCAATTTTTTATTCTTGATTTTCTCCTTAAATTATGTTGAAACAGTAGCCGAACATCCTGTATACCAAGAAATGAAATAGGTGTGATACAGACATACCACTTATCTTTGTCATACGAGTAATATTAAAAACTTTAAACTCAAATCGTGATTCGAATAGCACTTACGGAAGATTAATTAAACCTTGCAGAACATTAGAGAAAGTAACGTTCTCGTTGCTTAGTTGCCAATCATTATGAAATTGGTCTTTACGCCCTTTGATAATCTTCCCTACGTTCACCATTTAAAAGCTTTGGAAATTGAAGAAATTGACGAAAACTATAGAATACGATAAATTGATGATAGCCATTCGACGTTGGCGAAAGAGTTATAAACAAATCGTTGGAGAATTGAAAACGTTGAAATAGCAAGCCGGGCGTTCGATTCAGGCGGTGCAAATGAGTGGAGCGATATTAAAATCTACGCGGGCAACAGATGGGCTCGGATAGCTTTACGATGCTCGAGCCAATAACGAAAATCATTAAATTAGCTTTAACCGCCGGTGCACGGCGTACTGTTAACAGCGTACTAATTTTATTATTTAGTAGTAGCATAAAAATCCTGGAATTCCCTTCGTTACTTCTCCTGCCGACGCAATTCACAGGCTTTTAAAGTAATAAGTTCATCCGTTTGACTATGTTTTATTTCGCTATTACGCTTACATGTGTATGTACCAACATTGTACGATATAACGTAAGGTTTCAAAAACTACTCTTATCTTTGCATAAGTGTACGTTCAAGAAAGAATTATATATTAGTAAATATAATGTATATCTTACCTTGTTTGTGCAAAAATTCACATCAACGAAGGATATTTTTTCTTAAAAAACGTGATTAATGGGTTTTCACGACATGCGTTTAAAGTTTGACATGACAGCCATATTGCTTTTAACGCTACCAGAAGCGTGGAGTTGGCGCCAATTTTCATTTACCGAACATCGGTAACGTGACGTCCTACAAAATTTTATACGTATTTGATCTGTAACTGGCGTGTACCTCGTGTGTACTGCCTAATGGATCAATATCGCACAAATAATGTTCGAATTCATTCAATTTAAGAAGATGGCACTACTGGATTCGCTTAATGCTCAGAGCTGAATGTTTACAGCCAGTCCTATTCTTATCATCTTAGCATTGACTTCTAAGTTTGTGAATCGTTGGAAAAGGGGAGATCCATAAAAATTCTTCACACGTAACTTGAAAACAGATTTTATTTGTTTCTGTATAAATATAATAGATAAGTAGATAAATAGATCATAGTCATATACGTTATAAATAGTCATAATCATAACAAAGTGTATATATAACATATAGTTATTACATCATGAGATTCGTTACGCACATTCGATTCGTGTTAATATTGTTTATTTGAAAGTATGTTTATTTATCACACATTCGAATGAAGATAATGTTATCGTGGAAAATGTCACTTTCTCACTTCTATCTTCGAGAAAAGTGTACGCGCTCTATTCAAAGTGTCTTAGTCCTTGAACGCCAAAAATATAAAAGAAATATACTTATATTTGATAGACATAAGAATAATGTGTTTATTCAAGTGCTCCTTACGCTCTACTATGAAAATCGTGCGATGTACTTTAAGTGTTAAATATAAATCATCTTACACGTTAGTATTTAAAAATTATTAGTGAGATTTAATATGATTACGGCTAACGCTAACTCAATTCTTGAAATACAATAGAATCTTATGGTAAAAGCGCAAACTGTACTTCAACCACAGACGTACATACATACATATAATATACATCAAATACGAAAAAAATGTGAAAAATTTTTGAAGTTTATAACGAAAAAGTTTAGCCTATACAAAAAAATAAAAAAATTTATGTATAATGAAGTGGTTTTATTACAAAAGTAATAATGTCCCTGCATACGGCGCGTATGTATTATATTACTATTGCTGTTACACGTAGTCATACAGCAACACAAGAAGTTTCGTTTCCAATATAAAACTCTATTCCCGCTTATTACTTTTATTTTATTCTGTTTGTTTAACATCACATAATGATGTTCATACTATTTACATTCCAATATTTAACTGATTACTTCATTAAAACGTAATATATTTCATTCCCTTTCTTAAATATCCTAACTAAAATACTTTCCACGATATACACAATTAAATTTAAGAAAAATATATTAACATTTCTACATTTAATTAATTTCGTTACTAATATTTAGAAATATGTTACCACCGACATACGTCGAAGGTTTTCATGATTTGGAAGCCGTTAAGGCTATGGAATATAGACCTTTCGGCAAAACCGGATTGATGGTCAGCAAATTATCATTTGGTGGCGGACCGCTTGGTTGTCATTATGGGTTGGTACTTAATTTTTATTCAAAATTTTATTCCATATATAACATAAGCTTTAATATTTATAAAAAAATTATGAAAGAAATGTTTTTATAAATATTTTTAAAATTTAATATTACGATAATTTCATACTTTCATATGTTGATACGGCGACAGTACGTATGATGAAGGTCAAGCAATTGAAGCGATACGTCAAGGAATAAAACAGGGGATCAATTACATTGATACCGCACCATGGTATGGTCAAGGTCGCTCCGAAACTACTATTGGAAAAGTATTCTTTTTTGCATATTATAATACACATATTAAATATATATCTTTTTCTAATTTATTTAATGTTTAATGCTTATTTAATGTATCTAGGCACTGAAAGGCATTCCACGTAAAGCATATTATATCGCGACAAAAGTTGGACGATATGAATTAAATTACGAAAATATGTTCAATTTTTCCAAAGAAAAAACTAGAAGTAGTTTCCTTAAAAGCTTGCAACTTTTGGGTTTGGATTATGTTGATGTCATCCAAGTAAGAACTATCAACTTTTTATGGTTTGTTTCATTTATCAATTAGTAACATGTATTTCTTATAGGTTCATGATATCGAATTTGCACCAAGTTTAGACATAGTAATTACACAAACCTTACCAGAACTGTCAAGACAAGTTGCAGAGGGCAAGGCAAAGCACATTGGTATCACTGGATATCCGATATCTATTTTGAAGGAATGTATTGAGAAAAGTAATATTAAAATTTCTTGCGTACTGAGCTATTCAAGGCATACGCTAATAGATAATACTTTGTCTGAATATATTCCATTTTTCAAGGTAGAATTTCGCAGTAAATTAAATATCCATATTTCTCAGAATAATACTTGTTAACAGTTTAAACAAATGTACCAATTTTTTAGGAACATAATATTGGTATAATTAATGCTTCTGCACCATGTATGGGACTTCTAACTAATAAGGGTGCACCAACTTGGCATCCCAGTTCAGAACAAACGAAAGAAGTATGTGCAGATGCTGCTGCATATTGTAAGGTATATAAATTTGAAACATTAACATAATATACATTTGTATTTGAGAATACTTTATTTATGACATAATGAGATCTTATCTTTGCAGGATCATGATATAGAATTAGCCAAGTTAGCATTATGGTATTCTATGCAATGCAAAGATATTGCTACATATTTAGTTGGAATGCAAAATTTAAAAGAACTGCAGATAAACCTTGATGTTGTTAAAAATGGAATTACAGATAAGGAAAAAAATGTACTTCAAGAAATTCAGGAAAAGTAAGTATAACATTAAAATAGCTAGCTTTTAATTACTAACAGTACAATGGAAAAACGTTTTCTTATTATATATTATTTCCTTACATAATTTAACAAATAAACCACGTTATAAAATTTTACTAATAACATATATAAAAGTTTTTAGCAAAAAAAAAGAATTCTTTTATCACACTTCAACTTATGAAAACAAATATAATATATATAAAGTTATATGTACAATTATACCATGTAATATATGTAGTAGTAAATTTTAAAAAATTATATTTTGTATGCCATATTAAATTAGTTAATACTATTTTGTGAGTGATTCATTCTAGGGATAGGGCAATGTATTCTATAAAATTACATGTTTATTATCTTGGATATAAAAATTTTAATTAAATTAATTTTACAAAATAATTAGAAGAAATATTTGTGTTGTAGTAGTCACCTTGTAGTAATTATTTTGTGGTAGTAATAATCAATTTTTTTATATGGATTATCATGTTTTTATAAACCATAAACTCACTATTTAAAAAATCATACATTGTGTTCCATGTGCCAATAGTCCCCGTTCTCAAAGATTTTTAAAGTATCTGATCTGACATGGGATTACATTCTATCTACTATATATCTGTGATAAATAAGTACCTATTATACTTAAGTTGATATGAATTTGGTAAGTTGTCAATTATTAAAACAAGAGTTCTCGCTTAATAAATCATTTGGACTCATAACAATAAGGCAATGGTTAATTGACAATACATGAAATAATTCAATTATACTTATGTCCAAAATTAAAAAAATTCAGAAACAGAAATTAGAGATTTCTTCTTATAATAACGAAATATAAAATGATCCTTCTTTTCATTCCAGGTATCTATGTAAAATAACAGAGAAACACTGGGAAAACAAAGAACTTAAAGCATACTGGGAATATATGAAAAAATAAGAGAAATATATTTTTTTGCACATAATATCATTATACTGTCAATATTGTTTTCTATAATATGTTAAATGCTAATATACGTAATAAATTTTTTACAAAAACTATATTTTTAGTATATTTAACTTTATATAACACAAATATTTTAATAAACTAAACTATAAATGCAATCTTTAGATATGTTTTGGAAGATATGGTCTCAGACTAAAATATTTATAAAAATCTGGTTGTGTATTTAAAAAAATATCAGATATAATTCTTTCTTTTTAGATTTAATTCTTCTAGATCTAATTCTAAATGCTTATTTATTAAGCATTGATCTAGTGTAAACTACAGGCATATAATCAGCTTCACCAGGTTTAATTTGATATGTCAATTCATACATTAACACAGTTATAAGTGAGCCCAAAATTGGTTTGTGGTACATTTGTTGCAATTCAAAACCTTTCTTAAGAGATAGTTCTCTCCCACCATCTGTATATTCTGAAGCAACAAGATTAGCACAACTGTATCCTTCAGTAATAGCAAACTGCACAGCAACATTTATAAGGCATGAAGCTATTCCTTTTCTTCTATATCGCTCATGTACATAGAGCCTTTTGATCCATGCACCTTTATCTAATCTATAGCTTTTACACAAAGCAACAGTTCCTACAATCTTCTTAATCTGAGATGAAATGTCAATGTTTGAATCACGAAATTGTTGTTCTGTCATTATGGTATAATGTACATTCTTTGGATTATGTGTCATTAGGTAAGGTTCAAATGCTTCAGCAACCCAAAAGCATGAAAAGGCATTAGACATATAAATCCTGTTATAATAAATGCAGAAGTTTTTATGTTAATATTTACTTTTATCTGAAATACTTTGTTTTCATAACAAAAATTTCATACAATACTATATTAATACATTTTAATTCTGGAAAGGACTATAGTTTTGATATTAACGTCTTAACATTAGTATTAAATAATACATACATATAAAAAGTTTTTACCTTGGTATATTAGAAACTTCTTCATTAACTTCTATAGTTTTCACAGTGAAAGTTATATAAGTTCCAACGTATACCAAAAAAATGACGAAAGGAATAACTAAAATGCAAACTGTCAAGGGCAATCCAAAAAAAATAAACATTATAGCGGCAAACAATATCATCAATTGAAAAGTCAATTCTTTAAATACAATTCCCAAAAACGTCGAATTTAGAGAAGACATTACGCCCGCTTTCACTAACTCTTTACAATTAATTTCATCGCCTGGCTTATAACTTCGTACTATTATAATGTGATTCATGTTGGAAAACAATTATCTTACTCTTTACAACTTTTATACATAATTAACGAACGAAATGCAATAAATTAAGATATTGCGAGGTTATATTTTCGATATGTTCGCCATCTGCAGCTAATACAAATATCAAATTAGTAATTTGCTCTCAAGTATGTGTATACATATATATTAATATCTGATTAACATTATTTCCTTATTTAATATATAAAGGGTCGGTAAATACTTGTTTGCTCGCTAACAAGCTTTCTATAATAAAATCAGTCATTAATAACCTAATGAACTTTTTCTAGATATATGTACTGAGTTACTCCATAGATTACATAATAAATGATATAATTATAAAATTTCTGGCAACATTTTTTAATGTAAATATAATGTAAATTATCGAATCTTGGGTAAGAATATACGCTTCTTTCATTAAACTTACTGATTATTGATGAATATATGAATATACGCCTTAAGGTTATCTGGAAGTGGGAGAGTCAGCGTTCAGCCATTGCTACTCTGGTCTAAAGACGCGTTGTATGTGAATGGTCTTCTGTACTTTGTCTAATTATCTCATTAACGAAATTGTTTTCTCATTCAATATCTTCTGAAGTAGATATCTAATAAAACGGTGGTAATCATGAGTGAGCGGCCGAGTAATGGTGAATACAAGTATCAAAGGGAAGAAAATGCCGATTCGAAGGTAAGAACATCGTCGGAAAAGGAACGTGATGAAAAGGAACATCAGGTTGACAAAGCCGGGGAATATGTCCGGGAGCTTTTGCAAGAAAAAGTTGAATTGGATTCGCAAAAATGGCCTAATGCAACCAGATTAATTGATCAAGGTGAATGTGAATATTGCTCTATCATCAGTAGTCATTGTTTTTAAATCGTCTTTATTATTTTTAATGGCCGTGTTTGTTTTTTTGCTATTTGTATATTTATTTTTGTAATTTACTAGCATAACTGTTTGTACACGATTTGTCGGTTTTATTACTTCAAAGTCGAACTGAATAAAATATTTAAGGTTAGATTCTCATGTAAGCGAAAAACAGTTTGCACTTTGTTATTTAATTTTTCTAACATTGTTTCGAATATATTACTAATTCTGTACACAAATTATATCACATCTGTTAATGCAATAAACAATAATTAAAAGGAAACATCAAACTTTTCCGTAATAAATAAATTTCAGAAAATACAAACGTATTTAGTTTAAAGAATCAATATTAATATGTATGTAAACCTATGTTATAAACCATTTACGTATTTTTATATTGTTTTAGTATACAGATTAATTTCTTTAACACCTGTATATTATGAGTATATAACTTTAAACATCTATTAAAGAAAAATGTATTAATAATTTATGAATATATAAATAAATTGATATATATTTTATAACTTATTACAATTTTTAGTATTTTTCAGTCTAATTTGTAATGCAGATTAATGAATATTAATAACTGTATATGTGCTTATATCAATAAATTTCTGATTACAGTAACAAAGAATAAAAAATATGCTTTTACTATCATTTCTTTTTAAATCTGTATTTATTATTATCATAGAATAAAAAATAATTGCTTTGTTCTATAGAAATTCAAAAAACTCAAGCTATTGGAAAACCAGTTAGAGATCTTAAATACGTGGATATTTATCGCGAAAAACCAATTCGGGTATCAGTTAAAGTACTGGTACCGGTTCGGGAACATCCAAAGGTAGTAATCGTACTTTGTTATAAGTATCCCTAATTTAAATAAATATATGAATGAAATTATATCTTGAAATTATGTACAGTTCAATTTTGTGGGAAAATTACTGGGACCAAAAGGTAATTCTATGAAACGTTTACAAGAAGAAACTATGTGTAAAATGGCTGTACTAGGAAGAGGATCTATGAAAGATCGTCAAAAAGTAATTTTGTATTAAAAATGCTGAATTTTGAATTTTCATTTGACTTAGTTTTTTGTTTATATATATATTTATTTTTGCTTGAAGTTATTATTAATATAAAGTTATTATCTCTCTATAAAATTCTTCGTCAACTTACTCTAATATAGGAGGAAGAATGTCGTATGTCTTTGGATCCAAAATACGCACACCTTTCGGACGACCTTCATGTGGAAATAACAGCACTTGCACCTCCGGCGGAGGCTTATGCTCGTATTGCATTTGCGTTGGCTGAAGTTCGGAAATATCTTATTCCCGATAACAACGACAACATACGCCAAGAGCAAATGCGCGAAATGGAAATGAGCATGACAGATGATCCAACAAGTGGTGATGATAGAAGGCCCTCTGTCAGAGGAGTACCAGGTGCTGGAGGAATATTAAGACCAACCACAAGACCAACGATGCCACGGTCTTCGCGAGGTAGTGATATTTTCTAATCACCAATCTTTTAGTAATGTCGTGTTAGAAAATTGTGTTCTACATATATTCTGCTTTCAATGTTAGAGTGAACGAATTAATTTCAAAATATATGTTTTTTGAGCTTCGTCTATTTTAGCGGCGATACTTCCACCGCCTTCGAGCCGGGGACCAATCTCGCGTCCTGTTTCAGCGAAAAGTAAAGTGTTCTCTATCTTAGATCGTGCAAGAGTTGCAATGGATCAAAGTTATGGGTAAGTTTTAAGTTAAATTAATTACCGTAATTAGGTGAATATTGTTATAAATTCATAATATTATATAATATATAGTTATGAGACTGCTACTCCACCTCCAAGTAATCGTGTCGGATCTCATCATGATTACGATTATCACGCATCAACGGGCAGTAGCAGCCGATACGGAGACCGACATTATACATCAACATCAGGGTAAGTATAATTCTATCATAATTCATCGAAAATGTTCTTATCCGTTATAACTATTTTTCATGTTATACATTTACATTATCAATCCTATCCCTTAATGTCTCACTTGACATAAATAAATGAGGTAAATATTTCAAACATTAAATATAACATAATAAAGTTTTATTAACAAGTATTATGGTTACGTTATGCTGCTTTTCGTAACAACTTATAAAAGGTATATATGTATAATACCAAAATAATTAAAATAATTGAATATTTTATTTAAATATTTAAAATAAAAAAATTACTGGAGTCGGGCGTACGCGTAATATTTCTAATCAGTCATATCGCAATTATGAAGCCGTAGCAACGAACCTTTTATTTTATACTAGTATGCGGTTGTTTGTTCTCGAGATATCATTGTATCATATCATTTGATAAAATCCATAATAATTTCCAATTTCGTTATTTATAATGTTCTTGCATAATCAGATGTTTTTCTTACACATTATGACTAACCTATCACAACATTAACCCCTTCCCGTGCTTTAACGAGTCTGACTCGTGATGCAGATTTTGGCCCAAACATGAATATCACGAGCTAGGCTCGTGAGCAGATAATCGGGCCAAACATGAATATCACGAGCCACGGTCGTGAACAAATAGCTTTACATCTGTCAGAGTGTTTTAGAAAATATCATACCATGGAGGTTTTTTAGAGTTGTAAGTATTTTCTTATAAAATATCGATTCAAGGTGAACATTTCTTACTATTGAATTTTTTGTTTATAATATGCTATTTATTGTTAGCTGTAATATTATTACATTGCTTAGGATAAAATCACATTTGAAGACTCTTGAATTTCTATTGAAGTATCGTTTATTCATGAAATATAATTTTGAAACTGCCATCTATTACAAAATATAATATATTTATAATATCTATAAAAGGAAAAAGGATTAGAGTTTACTTCCACAACAGCAGTGTCGCGTAAAACTGACTATATCATAGGTATTTGCATCTCGGCTTGTATTGTGATTGTTCTTGAGCATCAGTCTGGTTTGTTTATCACACTTTGACGCCTATCGCTTGGGCCCGAGTTTCGTCGAGCTATATGGCACGGGAAGGGGTTAAGTCACGTGTGCTCAATTATGGAATCCAAGTCATCCTTTTCTTATTGCTACTGCGCAACAAACGTATTTTGTGGGAAAAAGTAGGTTACCCTGTTCGAAAGACGTTTTGTTGCCATCCAATCCATCTTTTAAGTAGTACATTGGTACAGTCATTTCTTGACGGTTAAATTTACTTACTGATATGAGCCAAAATGCATTTTCAAGAGCGCTGCTTTCTTTCAGAGTATATTGCAGATGTTTTATAGTACAATGATTTTTAAAAATAATATTTGTTTCTTTGCACACATTAAAGCTCTACTCATTTCCACAATACGATAACTAATATTTGTTCTCGTCTCAATCTTTTTTTTTCATTATCCTTCTAAAGTTCCACATCTTTTTCTGAAATGTGTGAAATGCAAACAAGGTTGAAATGATTTAGGTTCTTAATGTGTATTGTACTTTTATATATCATTTAGAGATGATATGTATCCTTCCTCGAGGTACACAACCTATGAATACGAAGACGATGCTGTCCCGCACTCGTCGCATAACTACTACGAAACATCAGAATATCCAGGTAACATGCTTCTCATTTTACATTGTTACTACTTTTTTTCTAGCATAAAAATATAACACGTAATTGTACAGCAATTATCATAAACATACACGCATGTGTGATATGTTGGAAATTAACATAATAGCAATGGGATTAAAATATTTTAATATATAAATTATACATAGGCAAATTTTTCCTGATTTATCATTCATAAAAATAAATATTTTGAATTCAGCTAAATAAAAAATTGATAATATACAAATTTTAAATGGAAATATAAATACGGCCAAAAGTTTAAAAAACATTAATAATTGTTTCTTGTAATTTTTTGAACGATTTATTATAACAATTTCGTACTCACGATAAAATCCATAAGAATTAAGTAAAATAATAAGTTTCGTTGTTTTATACAAAAATCTAGAAATTCCATATTTCTCGCACAAAAAATAATACACGAATAAAAAGTTCAACAATATAAAGTGAAAATAATTTCCATCCACTATTTAAAATCGAACTATATTTTTTCGAAATCGAACTTAAAGATTTTCCTATAATATCCTAAATATTAGAGCATACCCTCAACAGACACGGGATGCCTTCACATAACAATGTGTGATGTTAACTGAATTATTCATCAGCTCATTCGCAGCTATTTTCTTTTTAAAACATTTAAAATAACATAATGCTCTCGCTTCCTGTAGTATATAGTTAGGAAATTATTCGATTAATATCATATACACATATACATCGTCGTGGTGCCCTTATTTAATAAAAATAATGCAAATAAATCACTCCATGAAATTCGCAGAGGAATCATCGAGCCGCGCATGGAAATCGTACAAGACGACAACGACATCGGGCTCAAGCTCGCGCTACCGCAACGCCCCGTATTCACGACCTTCCAAGTAAAAATCCATTAAAAGAATCATCCAAATATTTTCTTAATTTTATCTTGTCCAAACAATTCCTGGATTCTGAAGCGAAACAACGATCTTTCTTTTTTGACTGTATTGTTTCTCATAGCCCTAAACCATTGACGTATAATCTTCCTAACATACGGCAACTTACGATGCCGGCAATGCCAAAACCTAGTAACCGAGATCGTTCTTAAAAGAAAATGGAGGCACTCTGAGAGACTAACACGGTAAACGATATGCAGATGGTATTACAATATTTCATGGTATTGCGACGATAGAACCAAACGGATATAACGTAACTGCCATTTCTTATCGATTTGTCGAGGGTTTGCCAAAGGAAATTTTTTACTAAATGGTATTAACAAAACTTTCGTCTATGATCACTATGTTTCATATATTCCTTCTTTGGAGTAAAATTTATCTAGCATAAAAGAAACTTTTACGTTCGTGAATAATTTGCTTGTTTTCTTTATTTCTACATAATAGAATTTTTTCCAGTCGTAGTGTAATAAAGCATTCACATGCTTTTCAGATGTAATTCTTATGGCTACTGGATAAGTACTAAAACTCGTAATACAATGAAAGCTGTAATCAAACTGTTTCCTTCAATTGCGTTTTTTATCGCGAACAATCGTACATAATATTCAGCCCGTAGACAGTTTGGTTTTCTATGAAAGCATTGAAAGATAGAGAAAGAGAGAAAAAATACCTCCCTTCAAATCCTTTCCTCTCCTGAAAAAAATGTCACGTCAGAGTGGAAGGCTAGAGGACCAAGAGGATCAGTGGAACGAGACACGTAAAATTGTCAGATAAAAAAAAAGAAAGAAAGATGTCGGAGCTATGTCACATTTTTCGAGATGTCAAATTTCGTATCTTTTTATATAATTTCATTTTATATGCAGTTTTTTTTCTTTGTTTTGTTAATTGGTACAATGTATAATGAATGAAGTTCATGACATGTAAATAAGTGATTTTAGTTCTTAATTTATATATATATATACATATATATATAAATTGTTTATATAATATATAATATATATAATAATAATATATATATACTATATTATATATATATAATTGTTTGTATATATATAATACATACATACACATATATATACATAATCTTTTTATTTTTTAGATAGGATCTATTCTTTGGTTTTAATATATGATGCTTTTTAAATGTTGAAAAGTACATAGCTCAGACAGTCGTGTGCGTTATAATAAATAGTAATATGTCTAAAATAGAACAAAGTACAATATTGTAAATGATGTTCAGTGGCAGATGACCGTATATAAATTAATATTACATAAGTTACATATAATCATGTAATTATATAGTAATTCATTTAATATTAATATGTATAGTATCTACGAGAAAAAAAAATAATTAAAATGACGTGTTGGAAGCTTAAAATGACATAAATAAATGTTAAACAAAAATATACGTGTATAGTAGCACGTTCCAAATATACGAAGTGAAAAATCGTGTAGCTTGTAAACATACAGTAGCCACAACATTACGAATAGAAAGAAAAAAATTGTGTAACCATATAGTATAAGGATACAAAAAAAACAAAGATAAAAAAACTTGTGCGTAACTTATAAACATTTTTCCGTTTTTGAACGGGATTTAATCATTTCTGCTATATATATATCTATATATAATTCCCCTAAACTGAAATAAATAAGAAATGTAGCGCTATTATAATAAGCTACATTTTGAAGCTTTAAATCAAAATCCTAATTAATCAATAGTATTATAACTTGGACGAAAATAACGAAATGTTTTCAGATCTAACCCATAATATTAAATATCTTCAAAGATCCATAAAAAAATCTCTTCATCAATATATTAGTAACTTTCATTTAATATGTTTACTTTAAATCAGCCACGAAATGTTAATTAATGTTAAGAAATTTTGTCAAAAGAATATAATAAATCTAATTTAATTTTCCTTAAATATTTAAGTACATATGTTTCAATTACGATAATATAAGCGAGAATAAAAATTAAAAAATATTTGTTATATTCACTAAATGCCAATCGAATACGTGTTTAATTTGTATTAAACTGGATTTATCTTGCATATTATTTAAACTTTTATTAGCAATAAACTTATGAGAAATACAAAATAGCAGTGTCACTGTTGTTATATACTATTGTTATACATATTTTTAGTCTAAACTGATTGAAGTTTCGTTATGAAGTACTTAAAACATTTACTTCTAACATATCTTTTCATGTATCCCTCTCAGGTGTATAGAAGAATACGGAAGGTTGCGCGGGAACACGTTTTCATGGATTAAAATATTTTAATCCTATCCTATTTCTCTGTTCAGTGGACTTTGAAGTGCCTTGAAATCACGTGAGTATAATTTTATTATTGTAATATAACATTCTAATTAGTTTTAAAAATACCTATAAAATGTAAAAGGTATAATCCAATTTTATTTTTACATACAATATAGCTGCTGATTTTATTTGCTTGCATAATGTTACCTCAAGATACTTAGACGATTTTTTATTCTTTATTGATGGAAATAAAACTAACATTTAGTGAGAAATAAATGAAGTTTTTTTATAATTTAATAGTTAAGGCATCAATTTATTTTTTAGCCTGCATGTTCAATTTGATTTGCTTCTTTTGTTAATTTCATACTAAAATCTGAGATAGTAAGACTTTCTTCCAGGCAATGGAGTGTACAGACCATGCACAACATTGTGATTACATCAATCGAAGAAATAATGATATTTCCCTCTTAAGCACTGACCGGTATGGTAAAAATTAAGATATGTATTTTAAATATCTTTAAAATTCCACATCAATCCTTTCAGCACAGTAGACAAAATTTTAAACAAATATATTTATTTGGTGTATTTTTGCGATGTCGTTGTTTGTTAGAAAGTAGAATTAAAAATCATTAGTGATATATAAAATAGTTTGCGAAATACTCGTAGCAACTTTATTACATCTTCCAATTCGATTAGATCTAATTAGTGTCAATAAATGTGATCTCTTGTTCTTTTACACATCTGATTTAAAATCTATACGGTAATATTTAATTAACTTAATATAAGTCATTTTTGAACCGGTCAAGCTTTAAGGTAAAAGGTATAATATAAGGTAAAACATTGTTAAATTTATTTCTATAATATTTTAGGAATATAAATCTAACTTTACGATTTTATAGTTAGTATAAATGTATATTATGTGGATATGTGCATCCGATACTTAAAATAAAAAGATTGAATCGAAAATAAATAGATCGAGTGTAAAGATCCAATGAATATTTAATTTTTATTTTGTAAGAGTCGTAAAAGTAATAAGTGTTGTTATTTTCTTAATTTATATTTAAATAATGCGCGTGCCAGACAGAAATTATAATCTTCTTCGACAGGTGGCGCTATTGCAGTATCTTACCAAAATGGCGTCTGTAAACGCGGTGCGTATAAATTGAAGTATTGAATAATTGAAGTATTTGTCCTTTCTTCTGTGCAAACGTTTTTAATCAATATTTAAGAGTGGTTTAGAAGTGTAGAAACTAAGTTGAGATGAAGTGTTGTTTTGTAACTAGTATTGAGACGATTGCCTACGTAAAAATAACGCAATTTATCTCGCACGGTTTGACGTGCGTCATCTCTTCAACAGTAATAGGTACGTATATATGAAATTGATATTCATATTTCATGATTACTATAAAAACATATTGTATACTTATAACTTTATATTTTTATGTTAATGTTAAATTTCTTTGAAATAAATTACTACAAAACGAAAACTTTTGAACACTTTTCATGTTTTACATTCTTGCTACATAAGTACATATTCGATACTTTGAATTCAACGATCATTAACATTATGACGCTTTAATAAACTTTCATTATTTAAATAATTTTTATAATTTATAATTTATATAAAATTTGCCTTAAAATTAGAAATTCATTAATATGAATGTTGAACTCAAAGTATTCAGTCGTTGAAACCCACTTAAAACGATTAAATAGGATCATACTGAACATGAGTGTGTAAGTTGCTTAGAAACAATATTCTTATTTATTTATCACACACCAATATACAAAAATGAACTGTAAAATCAATATCAGAATATAATATACTACGAAATTCAATTAATAAAGATATATCTGAGTATCTTACAAGATTAGAATGATGCTTCAACTTGGAACAGAAATGATCTACAACATTCTTTGCAGTTGGCACAGAAATTCTGGTAGAAAAACGTCTTTTTACGGCCGTTCTAAGGATTATAAATAAGTATTAATTTACGGGACCTTAAGTCTAACGAGTCGCCTAAGTAATCGTGAATGAAAATAAGGGTTCTAGGATTTTTATCTGTTTTTCTTTCATTCTCATGATCTAACTAAACCCACGGCGTTGGTCTTAAAGCTGGAGGAAAGTTCTTTTCCTATTTTTCGTTACCTCTTTTCTTTCTTCCTCAATTTTTGACTGAAGAAAACTGCGATCGAAGCGCACGCAACATCGCAAGAGGAGAAAATTACATATATCGTTGGACATAAAATTTGTCGACGCAATAAAAATCCGATACATTAATCGGGATTAGCGTGAGTTACTTTGAGTAAACTTCGAAGGTTGTGTCTCTTCAGTAAACGAAAAAACGGAGAGATATTTGATGCCCTCCACGATCACGCTAGTACTTCACCTCTATGAAAAAACATGGAATGATAATAGTAATTTTACGTGTTCTTTTTTTCGCCTTTCGTTTTTGCTTTGCGTTATCCGTTTATGTCTTAGTAATATTATGATTATATCACAAGAAAGATTCAAATACTCTGTACATATTATCCCGGAACGCGAGACATTTGATCAGGTTTCTTAATCTTACATTTACATACGCTTAAGATTTAATTACAAAGTTAGATATGTCTCAGGTTCACCTGGTATTGTACTTCAACGCAATCTCTCGTGCTTCTACTCCGCGTTTGCTTGCCCGATTTCTTTCACTTCATGCACGAAACTTTTCCAATACTTTCGATATCATTATATCAACAATCGAGATCGTTCCTTTACTACGATCCTTTCATTTGTAACTTCTACGAAACGAGAGTTCGAAATGCGTTTCGTAGAAACTTAAACGGTGATCTTCCGGCATTCGTTCGGTATCTTCGGCTGCTCGCTTCTAGTCGCTGGTTCTTACGTTTCTAAACTCGATATCGTTAATTGGCACATCTCAAATGGCAACTTTCGCATTGGCACGATGAAAATGATCCTCGGAAATGATCCTTAGACTTTTTGTTCTTTTTTTTAAATTTTTCGGCACCGACGATCGCACACGCCCAAGCCTTGTTCCGTGTTTCCTAAACGAAATTCGTAGAGCAGTTGTAACAAGGAGCAAAATACGTAGTCGAATTACCGATGATTGATACACTCGTTACTGGAAATCGCTAAATTCGGTTTCGCAGCATCAATTTTTCTAAATACGTACAAGTTAGAAACAAACAACCGATTGAAACGTATATCCCAATCGTCGAATGAATGTAAATTGTTCGACGTCGTTTAACAATTCTTTTGAAAGTATATATACTATATACGTTACTCGTTTATTCGATCTATCCGTCGTATCAATTACAGAGATTGATGGAGATTTATGCTACAAATCTATGAAAGTTACGTGTTATTACGTAGCAAGTACGCGAAGTGGATCGATCGAGCGCAATAACGAAGCATCGAAACATCGTCCGAAAATTGCAACGTTAAATAGGGATCATCGTGTTAAGAGATCATAAAAGGGTTTTCGTGTGAAATTATGTATAGCTGATCGAAATATTAATAGAAATACTTGGAGAGCGAAGTTCGCACGGTATACCTCCAACTAGCTATTCAAGAAGAAAATCTTTTATTACGTGGATGAATTGGAATGGATCTTGATTAAAAATTCGAGTATGGAATAAAAGTAGCTCTTAATACGCGTTCAATAGAAAACTATCTCGTATCATAAATCCCTAATTGACTACCAAGAAATCGTTCGAAAACAGTGTTATCGTCTTGTATGCGAATAACAATCGGCGATTACCGCGATAAATAGGCAACTGCAGCGAACGATGATTCAACCATTTTCGTGTCCATATTTTGATTTAAACAAAACGTGATCGGTTACTAAAGCAGTAGATAACGACTTTAAATTAATACTTTTTTAGCCTCAGACGGCTGTTGCATGTTCTCACCGCGTGAATTTTCATCTTTTTCCTTATTCGCTCCTTTAACATCTTTGTCTAGTCTCGCATGAAATGATCCACATCATACGTTTCCATACTCTCGTGGAAAATCGTCGTAGAGATTCTAACGAGAGGACCAGGACAAGAGATGAAAAGTAGACGATAACGTCAAAAAATTTCGTGGCTGAGTCCATAATTTTAATTTCCGAGTTAAATATATTTTTTGTACTACATTTGTGGAATGTAGTACAGTAATTGTACGATAAATTGGTTTCTTTTACGATAAACGAAGAAATTAAGCGATAAGAAATCCCATAAAGGACGCCCGAATCATAAGGTGAATGTACGTTTATAAGGAAACTTGTAAGGACCATGAATATGCTTTTGCATATAGCATGTTTAGATATAAATGAAGTTGAGTTGTCTATGCGGTAGACTCAGTCAGTCGATATAAAGGTGGTCCATAAAACTTTTGCAAGTGGATTTACAGTCGCAGACATAAAATTGTAAGTTGTACGCGGTATAGAGAGCGATATATCACTACGCTGACAATATTAATGCTTACGTAACAGCGTCATGATCGATACTGCGCGTATGTCGGGCGCTCGGTAATGAGCAAAGAATAGTTATGCTTGAGCAATATAAATAGTCGACCCAAAAATTATACGGAGAGAAATAAAAGTTTGCTGTGAACTGCGCTTCTTTCTTTTTTGTCGTACCTCTGTGTGTGCTTTTGATTATCGATCGATTCGTCGTATCGATCGAGTCGTAACAGTGGACGCAGGCGTAGACATCCAAATTCAATTAGTCCGGATATATTTTTGTGTATTTTTTTTTAAATAGATTTGCCTTCTTTAAATAAATTTTTTTATCTGGAATTGAAAATGAATTTCTAGCCATCATCTGAATCTGTACATTTCACATTATATTTTGTTTTATTTGGAATTTTTAATCATTCCATTAGACTGTATTCTATCGATAAAATGCGAAATTTGTAAAGATCTGAGCGAGAATAAGTCGTAACGATTGCACAAACGTTTCAACTATCACTAAAGCTATCACAAGTAATCGTAATGCGTATAAATATCTTCGAACCGTTTGATGTGCGATCGCACACGAGAGAGAACCTATGAAAATAAACGGGGAAGACGTAATAAAAGTTTCAACTCTATATCATGATGATCGCGGATCCCGTCGAATCGATCGATACGTTCTTTCTCGTTTGACACAGATGCGTTTCAAGACTGAGCAGGCAGTGAAAGAATAAACGGTAATTACATTTCATTACAATTCCTATATTTTACTCGAGCAGATCCTTGTTGTAACGAACGTAATCGCGGATCGATCCGCGAATCAAAGATCCTTGATGTTTCTTCGAAACGATATACAAGTACGCCGACTGTGTTCTTTCCGTTAAACCGAGGATAAATGAAGTATAGTGTCTTGTTTATATCTCATTGCCGGTCATTTTGACTCGACCAGATCTTCGATGAACCCTGTCTGAGGTCCACGATTGCACATTTCTTGTGACGTCTCGTCATTCATTTATCTAGTACACTTTCGACCAGCCAACCTCGGCGAACACGGATATCCGCACGTATCGCGCCAATATTTCTTCGAGTAGGCCTCCTTTCTCGTCCATTCTCTTCGTTTCTCTTCATGTTTATTTTTCTCTCTTTTCTTTTTTTTTCTTCATTATACAATGGAGCTCGTGGCTGCGCGGACATACGTGTCGTTTCAGTGGTCCACCAGAAGCTGTTCGCGATTAGCAAAACTCGCGAAAACTCAGTTGTACGGCCAGGAGTGCCTGATTGAAGTGACCACATTCGAGGTAGGCGGGTCCTCTGGGCGTCACTTCTTCATGTCGTTCATCAACGTGCCGTCCTTGCTCTTATTCGTGTCGAGGTTCGATTGCTGACTACTTGTCACGCCGCTCCCGTTGCCTGGGTACATCTTCTCAAGGTGATTCAGGGACTCGCTTAGGAACTTCTGTAATCGATAATTTCGATTATCTAAATGAACGAACTGATACTTGAAATCATTAACCGTAGAGATATTGAAAAGATAGTTATACAATTTAAATATTTCAAGACGTACCTGTATTGCCGTAAGAGCGGCTACAATTGCAGGACTTCCGAATCCGTGTGATATGAGAGAGAAATGTGTTAGGTGTCTCTGTATGCTTGGGTCGAGGATATGTTGCGGCCGTGTATTGCAAAGTGGCGATCTGTCTTGATTGAGAAGATCCATCAGCTCTTTGGTGATTTGTCTGAAAAAATAAATTTCAAATTTTAAACGAATCTAAACGTCCTTACGCATGAGATTTTATTCTTCTCTTCGATCAAATGAATTTCGAGCAATCTCGATTATCTCGATATCTCTCGTCATTGTTCGCACGCCGTGTGGAGATAAATTCTTACTTGGTGGCATGAAGAAGTTCTTTTCTCCTGTAGGAATCTTGTGGTTCACAATGCTGCCGACTGAGGTATTCGGCAACTTGTTTCGCAGGGAATTCGGTTTCGCAGACATAGCCGAAGTCTCTGGCAAGGTGAATGGCTTCTCCTGTAAAAAAGAATATAAGATATAAAACGCCTCGTTATGGGAATTTCGATTACGCAACCCATCATATGGATATATATGAATTTTTTGCGATTCATTTACGACTTAACGGGCTAAAGATAAAATCTTCCTTATCGGAATCTACAAATTGCGTTCATTAAAACTAATTTACTACCCAATTCTAACGTCTATTTTAAGTGCGTGTTACATTCTACGAATTATTTCAAACATTCTAGATTCCACGAATAATGCCACTATAGGTATATAATAAAGGTATATAATAGGTATATAATAAAGGTATAATATAGGTATATAATAAAGTAAATGGCCAGGAAACATGGACCAAGTAAACATTTCTCTAATTATCTGTCAAATACGCAATGCATCCGCGTTGCTTTCTAGCTTCATATTGAATTTGAGAAGATATTTGCTGCTATTGTTATGAAATAATCCCTGATACTGTATCATGATAATTACATGTTCTAAATAAGCTAGTATAGTACTAGTAATATAATGGCAGTACACAAGTTGACAAGTACTATATTCAGTATATTGAGACATCTTCAAATATCAGGTTCATCTTTCCTAGAATTACACTGTACAAAGCGAGATAAGTTCTGCTCAATCGCCGATAAGTCTAATTCTCCTATCATCTTAGCCAAAAGTCAAGAGGAATACAGAGACGTTTTAGAAAGCCAACGGTAGAAATCTGAGATTCCTCGATTTAAAACAAACTGAACATAGCCATTTCGCGCGTGCCACATACAGGATTGTTCCGTACAGGAGGAACGAACTAATTTACGATAATGAAACGGCACACGTACTTTCTCTTAAGCACGTGGTTCGTTTCTCCCCTTTCAGAACAATCCCCTTCATCCGTCACTATTTCTCTCTTACTCTCGCTATTTCCCTCTCACTATATTTTTTTTACTCTCCGGTCTCTCTATGACCCTCACCCTTTCTCTCTTGCTTCCGATGATGGCAGGTAATTAGGTACCTACAAGCAGGATCTCGTGAAAGATGGAAGCGGACCCGTTGGGCGCTATTATCGACAACCGAGGAAAACCACCCGCAGGCCTGCCGCATTTTGCCTACTACGCGATCGAGAACACAGGCTCGAGAGCCACCTGCAGCTAACGAATTATCCAATTTCGCAAACTCGTTCCACCGTTTCTTCCTTTTTACGCGGGTGAAAAATATGCAAAACGCTCCTGATAATTGCACCTTCGTGTATCCTCGTTTCTACCGTCCTCTCACTGCGTTCGAACGAAACCTTCCAGTGGGACAATAGTTCTGTCGAGGTACTGCAACGGATTTTTAAGCCAGTATTGGAACTGATTTGTAGCTCTGTCGAGTACCGGAATTGATTTTTATCGATTGTTTCGAGGTCAAAAGTAATCCATATTTTTTACTCTTTTTAATTATGAATAAATGGAGTTGGTTTAATGGAACAATTTTATACGATATACGCAAGACTAGTTCCCTACACGGTGCAGCTATAAACTGCATACGCGAGATACGATTATTGTTCAGTGGTTACACTGTACACAACGTAGTTGTAAGAATGTTGCAATATACTATTTCCACTTCGATATCTGCTGGAAATGATACAGCACGAATTGCGTGAAACAAACGAATCGAAAATATTACAAAACCGTTTCACAACTGATAGTAATTTACATAATGCTTCATAATGTATTTTATCTTATGATCTCAATCACGATGAAACATAATGTTTAAAATTATACGCCTAACGATTGTAGCAAGATTTAAAGAAACTTTCTTCTACCTTTTCAAGAAGCATATCTAGAATTGTGAACATGCTCGTCATCTTTAAAACGATCGGTTCTAGAATCTTTCTTCTACTTTTCCGGGCAATATACCTAACATTACAAGCATATTCGATCCATTTATCGGTCTGTTCTCCTTTCATTATATCATATCCCAGCATCGATAATTACATCATGATTTTAATAAAATTTTTTAAATCGGTATATATCATGTGTATAAAAAGTCAAAAATGTCCAAAGAATTTCTCACCGTGAACTCTATCTCTATCATTTACAGCCTTTTTTCTATCAAACGAACGTGTACTATAGGCGATGCATCGAATAGCTTATTCGTATTAGTGCTTCTACGAGCGTATTTCACAGTTTCCCTTGATAATATTTATATGTCCGCGAGGATAGCTAATAAAAGCTATGAAATATTCCTGCATTGTCGATAGTCACCGTGTAAAAGTTGGTTTACAACATTGTAGATGCGTATAAACTGGGAAGGATCGGTCTTGAGCGAGGCCTGAATTAAACGCGTGTCACCATCACCGACTATCGACAATCTAATCGTGAACGCAAGTCGCGCAAGTGTCTGCACGATGCACGTACAAAATGCAACAGGTCGTTTTAACTAGCTTTTAGTACCGTACACGAGACTCAGTTACACAGCCAGTGATTTGCATATGAGCCCGTCACATTGCGTGTTTCATAACCTTTTTTAATTTCCTTTTAAATGAATTGATATTTCTGTCACGTTCATAGCCGAGAGATGCACGGTTTACGTATGCTCGTGTGCACATGGGCTTAGTTCGCGGAGATATTTGTTGCGAGACGTTAAGATCGTTTCTTTTTATGGAACACGGCAATAGAGTTCTTACGGAAACCTTTTCTATGATTTGTCCTTTCGTTGATAGCATTTCTTTTTACATCAATCGTTGTTACGAATCGCGTGTATTATCACACTGAAACAAAGTGTGCCTTCTTAGAATAACAGGATAAAGATAATATGCTGTTGTTAATTAATTTTATATAACACAAATTCTATACATAATTTTTTTTGCAGCAAGCGTATAATCAAGATTTAGGAAGACTAATTCTTAGCATATCGTCAACATCATTTGCGATGAATATTCGATCAACAGAGATAGTGTTAATGGTGCAAAAATAAAAATTAGCTATACTCGTCTTATCTGGTTCAGGAAAATGATATCCATTGCTAGAAAAAATCACTGCACAGACCCTCAACAATCTTATCGATCGAGAAATTGGCTCTCGAATATCTCTCGAAAGAAGGCAATCGATCGAAACGATAATCTATGATAAAGACGTACAGCGAGACAACTCAATGCGACGAACGGGCCGCGCAATGCAGATGAGGACCACAGATTGGTCGAAGATTGCAGATGCGAGCTGCAGATTGATATACGTGGCAGTACGAGAGAACGAATCAGCAACGTGACTCGCGAATTAACGATCAGCCTTTTTACTTGATGACTTTACTGTGCTTGTCGCCCGATGTTCGATCGAAAAATCGATGCGATCATTACGAAGCGGTTGCGAGATTCGATTAAAAGACTTATCCGTTTCGTTGTTCGCGTTGTTCGCTTCCAGTTCGGTAATCGCCGTAGTAAATTAGCGAAGAGTAATCGAATAACGCTAGTTGGCGTGTAATCTGCCTAAGGAAATTTTCATCCCATTTTTATAAAATCGAATTGAACGCCTGGTATGTATTACAATTCAAATATATTTATGAAGATGAACTGTATTGGAAATAGGTACGGGTTTAACTTGATAATTGGTGCAGTTGTCAATTAAAAGTGTTTCTTGAACGAAGGTTATTACTATTAGGTGATAGGAAACGAGTTAGTTCAGTTTGCTTGTTTTAACGTTATTTCTATCATAGGTATGTATATGTAATATCTATCATCTACCTACATGTATTTCAAACGATGTGGTTAATACATTCACTTCTTGTATTTCAAGTCCACGTCCGGTCGATACATATTTTAATTAATATTTTCGATATTTTTCTTATAATACAGTTTGCTTTAAATCTTTAGAAAGATGAAGTGAAAGAACCGTAAAAGGTGTCGATAGTACAACCTCACAGACGTTCGTAAAATCCATAGGTCTACTCGGTATGATCAATCTTTGATAACGATCGTAAATTATACTGCTGTTGTAATGTGTCTCGGTGAAGAATTTCGGGGGATTCTCTTCCGCGTACCTCCAAATAGCAGATAGCTACGAGTATGCTTGCGGTTTCGCCGCTGCGTTGCGCTGTTTCGAAACTCTCGATTGCGATCGATACGCGGAAAATATGTATAGGTACATAAGAAGCAACGATGTATTGTATATATACGAACTGTTCTGCTTTCATATTTATAATGTCATATAGCGTATTCTACTTATTTGACACGCAAATAAGCGAAATTTCTTTTATATGGCGTGTCATTTTCTAACTTAAATAACATTCACCTAAAGCAATATCATTTTTAAATCAATTGGCAGTGATAAAAATATAAATAAAAATCATAATTTTTATTCTAAATAAAGTAAAATAAAAATATTTCATTATCTTTATACAATCTTGATAAAGTAAATGTAATTTTTAAAAAAGCATTAGAATTTCACGCAAAAAGTTGCGATGCGCCAGGTGAAGCTGACAGCGAAACGAACTTTCGTCGTATGTATAACCGAGATTGCGTCACTCTACGGCACAAATTTACGCATGAATCACGCACAGGTATACGTTAATCGTATGCGACCAGAGTATACCTATACACCTGGTGCGTTTACGTCCTCCATTCGAGAGGAGGTTCCCACACTTTCGCTGCACTCTATCGGCTCCTTCCACGGCTATCACATCCATGTACCTGCTAGACGCACGTGGATATTTCGAAATATTATATCATTCAGCGAATTTGGCTTTTCACTATAAGCGTTTAAAAATTGTACCATAAATTATATACTTCAGATTGATGGATTTATAGTTATATGTTATGTCCATTGTACTTAAAAGTTTTCTTTTCTCTATGATTTGCAATGATATTCATAAATCTACAAAGCAATATTTATAAATCAGAAAGATTATGGACAGGTTTCTCCACGGATTTATATATCTGAACAAACGCGAACAAAGCTAAACTTACTTTAAATTGATAAATCCGAATTTAATCTACGTTATATCATAAAGAGAGAGTCAGTGCGAAATATCGAAGTCGATAAACGGACACGAATACATCCAACGTTCTGTTTGAACGATTCATAGACTGTGAAAGAAGCCGATAGCGAATTCCAATTAACGTGCTGTATTCCTTACTGTTACAAATCTACACGGTTAGGCGTTGTGCAACACATAACTAGATTTTATTCAACGATAGCGTGTCCCATATATTTATTCCAGTTATTCAAATAAGCATCGATAATAGCGAATATGATCAAGTATCCGTATTCGTTATATTCTTCTTCATATATTATACGCGACTATTAAAGGAAGAAGCAAAAACGATAAGAAAAAAGGAAGAGTGAAAGGAAGAAAGAAAAGATACTAGTTGAAGTATAGAACACACGGCGGTTATTCCAACAGAGTATCTTCGAGATTAACTTCCGTCTTCGAAATGCCATCGAGAAATGAAGATTCTAAATGTCCGACAAAACGAGTTTGAAAACCTGTATGTTGCTAGACAGTTAATTAGATCGCTGAACGGGATAGCCCGGGAATACGGTCCAGTAACTTCATAGAATTGATTCTATGGTTTATGCGTTATTAAGAAGCTACGTCCCTTATTCTCTTGCCTTGTACAATAAAATTACGTCGCGACAGCGTGTTAAAAAGAAGCAGAAGTTTATTGTTCGAGCACACAGCTATTTGATTCGACTTTTGGACTAACTAACTTACATATAAATAATGAACACTAATTCTATAGAACACGGGGAATAATTTGTTGCTAAAAAATTGAGTATTAAATTTACTGAAATGTGATTTACATTATAGATTGTAGAATAACTTTCAAGTAGTTCGTTCATTAGAAATGTTTCATTACTTATTATAAGCACAGTTTTTCCAAAAGGTTAAGTATCAAATTATCATATTACTGCCATTCAAATGACGAATTGAATTCCTTGAACTTTTTTCCATTCAGTTAAATGCTAGATGATATCATTATTATGATATTTTATAGGTTGACAAGCATCGTGTCGACGATATTCCATGAATCTCGACAAACTGACCGCTAAAACACACGCTGATTACACACGCACATGCCTCGGTCATTCTTCGCGATGTGTCAGTGTCGAGGAAAGAAAAGTCAAGACGGTGTTTTATAGACGCTCATTGACCATAAATTATAATCAATGTCGGCACCAACACTCGAACAATCCGCCAGTCGCGTCATTAGAGCTTCGTCGGGATAGGTCAACTTTTATATGTATCTACAACCTCGTTGATCGAAAGTGTGTTATTAAGAGTGTGGTTAACAGTGGACATCCCTAGGGATGATCCTGATTAACTGACTCATCTTGTATTGGATGTTCGCGAGCGTGCTTTGACTACCATTAAAAAGTACTTAACGTCATTCAGTTTACGCGAACAATTTTATCGGAATAATTCCGAAGCTGTATAAATCATAAAGGTGAATCGTAGCTTCTAATCTATGATAATTGCAATTAGAAATGGTAGCTTCTTTTATTTGTAAATTGTTTTTTGGAAAAAGGTCTTAATTGGAAAATACAAGAATGGTTAATTAATTTTAAATTTAGTATAACAGATCTTATAATAAATGTGTTTTCACAATAGATAATTTTCATTTAATACCCGTAATTTTATTTCTATAAATTCTCGTTCAACAGTATTTTCCAATCAATTTAATGATACGTAGGTAATATTGACATTAACATAACGACATGTATCGCGAATTAATATTATAATATCGTTTACGTAAATGTAAATATTTTCTTGCTTTTGATCCATTAATCGTTAGGCATACATTAAAATAATTAAATGCTGTGTAAAATAATTAAATGTGTGATTTATAAATCTGCATCCTTAACCTTCTGGCATAAGTAACTCGTATCGAATTCCTAAAAAATTGTAAGATCTTTGTCGTACATCGATTGGAAAATAATTTAAATGCATTTAATTATACGAATTTAATTTTTCTTTCAATCACTAATTTTCATTTGAATTATCGCGAGCAACAACGTATTTAAAAAATATCTTCTGTTTAGTTAAACTGTAAGTTTTATGGTTAGACAAGTACAATTTTCAACTCACCTTCCACTAAGGATGTTAAAAGTGTGACATTGGCGGCCTTCCTTCTTCCTGCTGGCAAATTTAGCCCAATTTTTTCCAATTTTTCCCTAAGCAGACGTCCGCCGTTTTTGGACTTTGCTCTACGAAACATAAACAAAAAAATACAATCATTAAGTATTACATTAACATATAACATCTGGAATAAAATATTGTAATGATCGTAATTATTCGATGTAACACTTTAATGTAAAAAACGAAATTGTTTATTTCTTTTTCTTTTTCTGAACACAAAAGGTAGCATTTATTACACATCACAATATATGTTAGATCACGAGGTGAAAAGATATGTCATAGGAAAATAAATTTACAAGCAAGAAACTTGCTAATGCATGTTTTTGTAATAATTATTCGGCTTTAGTTGATCGTTTACACGATCCAAATATTTTACTGCATTCGTGCGTTTCTTCGTGTAAATTCAGTAAAATGTAATCCTATTTTTTAATTCAACCGTTTCTTCGAAATGTAACTTTGTACCGTATAGTGTTCGTAACACACGCTTTAAACTAAGGCTTGCTTTAGAGCGCTGAAATTTCGAAATGGAATTGCCCCATTAATCATCTGTGCCGTGATCTTTGACGGAAGAAAAAAGGAATCGACAAGCAACTAGGAAGAAGGAGGGAGAGAGATAGAGAAACAAGAAAATTAGCATAATCCGTAACTACGCGTGTCATCCATCGACGATTGAGTAACTTAACTTTGTAAGTCGCTTGCCGAGCAGGATACTACTTTCAAAAGTATACGCATTCACGTGTTGCAAAAACTTCCAACTATCTTACAAATTGCTTGGATAAAAAATTAATCACACGTTAAAATGTTTTTGAAAAATTTTGAGAAAAATATAATTTCAAGGTTAAATACATATGGCTCTAGCACTCAATTAAGGTTACGAAGACGACTCATAAGCCGTTCAATTCTCATTCTAAATCTGTTACATACCACAATTCCATCGTTCTTTTTCTTACAGCTCTATTTAAATGTGCGAAACGATCTACGAATAGAAATATTTAAACGGAACAGAGTAAACATTTCACAAGGAAAGACGTCAAAAATACCGAAAAGAACGACGACGAAACTTTTTTATTCTAGCACTTCTATTTAAAGAACAGCCTAAAACCTTTCACAGGCTCTCGTGTATATTTCGCGGAATATCTTGAAGAATTCGATAGCACTTCTTAACACACCCTATTCATCCATCATTCGTGGACCGAAATATAACGGTAATACGTACCTATACACATCGGCTACCTTTGTTCGGCTTGAGTAGCCGGTTCATCCGGTAATCTTTCGCTTCACTCGGCAATTAATACACTTTACCGCTACGAATTTTTTTAAATATATCTGCCGAAAGGATCTACACTCTGGAATATCCTATCGCTCAAAAATATCCGGACACTTACTCGTCCTTGACAGGATGTAATTTAATCGCTAAATAATGGACGAAAGAGTCTGTAATGATTTTATCTATCATGATCATTACACTTACGCAATATGGAACAATATAAATTGATCTTTAAAAACTAATACGGATTAACGAAATTGTAGAACTCTTTATCTGTGGATTATTTAATTTCTAGTTTATAAATGTATAGTCTGCTAACAAAATTGTAGTTATCAAATTTTTCTCCTGCGATCTTCATTTATCAAACAAGAACGCAATAGTAAGTCCAGAAACTAATGCTTCTAATCATTACTTTTCCATTAATTTGTAGGTACACTTCGTCCGAATACATATAAATAATAATGTACGTTTCGATGATAGTTCCTTACGAAGATCTTGGAAGCATCAGTGATACATAGTGAAACACAATGATATCATCTTTTATCTATAATTTATGCTCGTTGTAACCTCCATCGATGCGGCCGTATATACCGACCGAAACTTGATTTAGAAGTGTACCTTCGTTCCAGAGAAATTCCTCAGGTAATTTGTGAACGTTTATAGTTTCGGGGATCAGATAGCGTTTTACTGGTCACGATAAACCTGTTGTGCGTTGTGCTGCCTCCACGGACGATCAAACGTTCCTTTTTTTTTGTATCTTTTGATGTTTCATTGTAGAACCAGTCGAACTGAAAGCTTTGATTGAATTTCAACAGGACGATACGAGATTTTTATTTTCTGGTTTATTGTTCTCGATTTCGAGAAGTGACGTATTCTATTTTATATCGCTGGTGTTTGTATTCGGTTCTGATAGATGAAATTTATAATATTCCTTCTCATAGATTTATATACAGATAGCGTTGAAGTATCACGTGACTAGTAACTTTCATTTAATGTCTACTTAAAATATAGAAAGCATCTTTTTTAAATTATAAAAAAACTACGAATCTCCGCAAGAATGCAAATATACAGTATAAATTCGAACTCTTCGAAGAATTTTGTACTGTTGCGTAAATAAAAGCTACTTTGCATAAAAAAATCCACTGAATTAACGGAAGATTGAATTTAACCAAAGAATCACACGTCATAAGTCATTAACGCGATATCGTTGGTTCAAGTATTTCCTCGTGAGCAGTTAAAAGCACGCACGCATCCTGTTAATGTCACGGTTCTTCTCTCGTTGCAGTTAACACTCGCTGATAAAAATATATCGTTTCTCACGGCATGTGCATTAACGCACGATTATCCTGACATAAACTGTGTAATTATCATCGGTGTCAGGACATTTGCCATTGCCCCGTAATCCAAAGAAAACTTCGTTTTATGCAACCCAATGTCCTTCCACTTGTGCGCTTGTCCTTCCATTCGACTCGCCCGCGAGTGTTTCACGCTATGTTCGAGCAATACGCGTGATGACAGTATCCCCATATATTTATTATATAGTGATTCCTTTGTACGTGACGAGAGCAATTCTCTACTCATTACACAGTCTTGTCCCGAGAACGATTCTCACTCTTCTTCAGCGATCTGCTTCCCCGAGATTTCCACGATCTTCTTCGCGCCCTTCCCTACTCGATTCTCCCCCGATATGAACTTTAGGACACCCGGCAACACCCCTGATTACTCGAGACGTCCTCGACTACTGGCATCGTTAATCGTCAAACTCTGCGACTGTCGAGTGCTATTGATAAATCAATGAATCCTTCGTGATCGAATTTATTATAGAGTGAAAAAGTAGTATAAAAATTATCAGATATAGGAGAACATTGTTTTTATAAATAAAATGTATCTTCTCATTCTTAAAAAATTGATGTGATTTCATTTAAGTGTTCTCCACTAATATTTGTTACTTTTTGTGTTTCGAGTATATTAATAAAAGTAGTAACAAAAAGCGAGAGAAAAACTCAAGGAAGCAGAAAGATGAGAAAGGCAACATTTTTAGGACCAAAAACTCTCTAGTTTGTTGTTGTACAAACGTAGTTGACGATTTTATGAATTACAGGTTGAATTACAGAAATTTGATATCTTATGTTTTCTTTAGCGAATAAGATCGTATGAGTTTAATGGTATTTATTGTTAGGAGTTAATATGTTATCTAATTATTCGCAGCTGTTACTAATGCTAATTAAGCGTAGCAATTTTTTATTTCTCAAGCGTTTTTTAAATGATTTAATTTGGACTATTTGAACCGTGCTGTTTTTTCGAAATCGCAATAAATCTTGTGACTACGAGTGCTCGAACGAAGCGATAAAAGATAATAGATGAAGAAAACAATCTGTAATACGACCGACAAATGAACATCAATCTTTTTTCAAATAATCGGCGATGCTTAAATTATCCGACATTCCTAGTACAAACAATCGTATCTGGAGGATCTTTTGAAATGTAATATAACTGTCGATCGTAAAACTTCGTTTGGTCATAAAGATGCAACGCAATTCGAAAGAGGAGAAAGTAGAAGAAATAGATAAACAAGGGGGAGGAAAAATGTAAGAAAATTTATGGTGCTATCAAATAACCATTTAAAAATAATTTCTCAATGTAACTGTTATCGTTTACACTACCTATTCGAATTAAGAAGCTATCGCCGTTTCTTTTTATGCTTGTGTTTTAAAATGTTTAAGAAATGTTAAAAGAACGATAATTTTAAGCAGCGCTAGCTATATAATTATAAAGTTTTTAAAATCTCCTTAAATTTTACAAATAACATAGATGTTCACCACGAGAGAAATCTTTAGTAATCGAAAGAAAAATAAAATTGGCAAGTAAAGATTATCCGATCATAAAGTTTAAAACTTCGTGCCATTTGTATATTGCTTAAGAGGCGTATGTATTTACAGTTTTACAGATGACTTTCGTGGTTGCTGAAACTAATGATAACTATGTCTTATTGTCGACGATGTTTCGCGTTAAAACACAAAAATTACAATGCAAAATTGGTTGGTACTCGACAGTAATTTGAAAAGTCGTTAACCAATTGTGGGAACGGCCAGATACGAAAATGAAACGTGAAATTATGAATAAAACATATGTTCGAATGGACTTTTACGATTGCCGCGTGAAAAACGCGCGTGTAGTTACGTTTCCCGGCTACGAGGTGCGTAAACTTTTTGCACCACTTCGACAAACATTTGCACGATCATTATACGATACACCGTGGAATCTGAATAGCTTTTCAGACATAATCACTCGTAATTTAAATGCGAAAAGAAGTTAGTGGCGTTCCGTCATCGTAAAGAATTGTTAAAATGTCAATTGCGCTTACAGCTTATGACCCGTACGAGTTTATCTTTCTTTATATCTAAGGGGATGTGATACATAATTAACACGTATCTTATTTAATAACGGTTAAAAAAGTAAGAAAAATTACAATTCATTTAATTTTACGGGATATTTTATTTTTCTCGGGAGTCCACTTCGTCAAAAATGAACGCGTGTTGATTTAAATTAATGTAGCAGCTCACACGAAGCTTATACCTTCATGCATCGTCGCTAAACTCTACTATAGTTACATCAGTATCAATTCCTTGCATTCAATAAAAGTACCGTACTCATGTATCAAAATCCTTGATCATATATAAGTTGCCCGAACTAGCAACCTCCTGTTCTCTCAGTTCTGCTTTAAAATCATCACCGCAGAGGCGAATTTCAGAATCGTCGCGCGTTTTGGCGATTAATAAAATATTTAAACGTCATCCTCGCGAGGGGATCGATCGGACGAGCTGCTATTATAATTTTGGCGGAGCAACTGACAGTTTTAAAGCGGCTGCGTCTCGGAAACGAACGCATGATCGTTCTCTTGGACTCGTAGCGTAAAAGCCGTGTCGTAGCGTAAACCTTAATCCATCGTGAAGGTATGGAACGCGTCGCGGAGGAACAGGAGTTGGCTATGAGGACTGGTGAGGTGGAGAGAGGAGGACACGAGAGACAAAAGAAAGGCAGATGGGCACGGTAGAAATGTATGGTGGCAAGAGAACCCGGCGCGTGTAATTATCAGCCAGATCGCTATTCGAATGGATGAATTATATCGTCGCGGTCTGCGGTGTGCGTCGAATGTAACGCTGCCAGCCCGAGGGCTGCTCGTACAACCAGGAATTGACACTCGAAGCTATGCAATTATTAATGTCTCATTTGCATCGGGGATAGATCGGCCGCTTTATTGGCAGTTTATTCAGCGTTCTCCTTTTTTCCTCCACCCCCACTTATCCAGCTCGCGTTCTCGTGGAATTTGCTGAGGTTCGATCCGCGGATAATCCTAACCGCGAGAGGCCGTGGGCTACGTTTTATGGGTAGTTAGCCATCTACGAGTTCGCGCGCGTAGGCGGGTGGAGAACGTTACAACTGTTTTTGTTCGTTTGATCGGTGCTTGTTACAGCCGCGACGAGAGAAGCATGGATTTCTGAATGATTCGAGGCATTCACGAGTGTTTTGTATGGAGAAGGTTTATGAATTCAAAGAAGGCAAACATGGGTCTAAGGTTTCGTAATGGTTTTGTGACGGTTGTGCCCAGCGATTGAAATTCTTGTTTAGCGCTTTGTGATTAATTTTGTTATTAACGTTAAAGCATGGTAACGGTATTCGATGTTTCGCCTTCATGAGTTGTGGATCGTTATTTATCCACCGATCGATCACTCACGATTATATAGATATAGCAACGACCATCAATGTTAAATCCCTACGATCAGAATTCTGTTTGCTTATAATAACAAAATATTACAGTTGGCACTAATTCTTCACTTTGATCCCATAAAAATTATAATCCCTAATAACTTTGATACGTTCTACAGAAATTATCCAGACGCAGACACGTTAAATCATACTACCCTCCATTTAAACATGGCAATCAAATCTTCGTATTTCCGCGAACGTGGAAGCATTGACTCGCATCACTGTTTCCTCCGTTGCCGTTAAAGTCTCGCGTATCAGGAGCGACGAAGACGAACAACTTTCTATTACTATTTATTACGGCTGGCTATACGTAGCTCCGAGTTAAATCTCACAATCAGTCAGATCTCTCTTTCGTTTGTAATCGGCGATTCCTCGAGCAAAAAGTCGAACACACCGCGTGCGTCATACACTGATCCACGTACGAGTTTGCGTATATACTATATGTATACGTTTCACGTGCGTGAGATACATCCGGCCGTAGATACCGGTGATTTATCCACGCCTTTGGTGATAAAGCATTGCGCAACGGATAATGTTCTGGCCGAGTAAAATGGTGAATCAGATAAAGAACGGCTCTTCCCGCTTCCAAGGGAGAAACTCATAAATCAGCCGGCTGTCCGTGCTCGAGTAAGAGGTGGCCGAATGAAGCGAACGCACGTTTATTAATTAACTGACTGGATGAAGTCTCGTAACGGTTAAACGTATCGGTATCTCGATTCTTTGACTATTCTCTGGTTATTCCGTGACTATTCCCTGGTCCAGGCCATTGTTCCCTTACGATGGTATAACCCTCTCGGATGTTTCTACCGCCAACGACAAATGTCCGGAAGTGTTTATGTTATTCACAGCAACACGGTGTCTCGTGTTTCGCATCGTTCCTACGCGTCTCTCTTTAGATAATGTATCGGTGAGCATCAAGCGATACCGTTAAAATACTTAACACGTACTACTTAATTTGAGTAAGAGGAAATGGTAGTTTGTGTGCCGCCAGATAATTCAATTTCTAGATTTCGATTACCACGCGTAGGTAGCGATGAGATCAAGTTTAGTATATCGTATAGTTACAAATTCAACTCGATTATAATTTTTAATTATCTGCATTAATATTATACTACCGATATGAAGTTTAATTCGCCATATTAAATTTTCTACATCGTACGTTACAGAACTAAAATAATGTTGAAATAGCCTTTAAAACGAAGTGAAAAAACGACGTTGCATCGAATGTTTCAGTGAAAGAGTTGGAGCTTTCACGATGGTTCGTCGCTCAGAGTGTAACGACACGTCGTGTAACAACGTCGCGTCACTGTCTTACTACGGACGGGGCTAATCTCCTTATAAAATTGTATTATGCAAACGAGGAGCTGGTACAGACAGTGACAGTTTCAAAGCAATATCTTACCTCCGTAAGACTCCACCGAGGAGGCTCGCGTTTAAGCATTCCGGTGGCGATAGTCGTCTTTGTACCTCGGCTACCGTAACTTTGTACTTGCTGGTGCTGCTTAGTAACGATAATCGTCCTGGAACCGAACAGAACACGTCCGAAGGCTGCGCGTTCCCACTTAGCATCGCCTTCTCACTCCTGTCCGATGGTTTCATGTCTACAACAAACGAACAACCCACGTTTACATCTGAGAATTATGCGTTTTAACGATTGGAAACCAATTAACCGATGTACTGGGACGAGAAAGTGGTTCAACATTTTAATTTACGATGCAAATGAAGTCGATGTACTAATGAACGTTCATCGATTAAAACGTATCGAAGGATATCGAGACTGCGGTACCATGTAAGGTTTAAGAAATTTCTGATCGTTTTTTTTAAAATTCTAAGCAATTGAAATGTGGCATTTTAGATCGATGCCTGTGAATCTTAGCCTCGTGTTTAACGATGTTTCTCAGGATACGATGAACGTAAATGCAGAAAGATGTTTCTGAAAACCAAGTGATTAAACTTGCTGATATAGTCGGTTAAATGTTCGATAAAGTACACGATATTATTTATATAGTAAAAACATGTTAGTTTTATAAATGCCAACTTTGAGATACATCAGGTGTGTTATTTATATCATATTATTTATATCATACATATCGTACATATTTAATGCTTGTTATTCATTATCGTTTTCTGCTTCCTACGTTTTCATTGTCATTTTCTGTTCCCCTTGTTCATTTTCTGAGATCACAAAAAGTAAAAATAATATTCGAAACAGCGAAAGAAATAAATTATTCTATTTCGCAAAATATTGTCCAATTAATGTTGTTCCGTCGATGAAAGGAACGCAATAATCCACTTAAGAATACAGTGTTCTATTCCCATAAAAGGTCAAAGAGGGTTTAACGAGTGGCCGATAAGGAATACCGAAACCGTAGGTTCTTCTGAAATTACCTTATACCCGGTCCAAGTCTATCTGTATAGGTGCACAACCATGATATCGGGGCAATATCCTCCGCGAAATATTTTAAATTCGCCGTACCTCGTCCCGTTTTCGTTTCTATGCACCGATAGTCCCGCATTATTGCATCGTTGCTCTGGAATGCTTAATATAAGGCCGCGGGGTTCGGACAAAGCTGTGTTATTACAAGGCAAATCGATGGTCAACTTATAACTTGAAACTCTTCATCGTTGACTTCGCCCGATCATGAGGTATACCTATGGTTTATAGCCGTTTAAAACGAACGCTAGTTTTAAATCGATATCTTCGAAATTGTTGCTGAAAAATATTGTAATACGACAACGAAGTATGCCGCTTTTTTATCGTCCTTTATTTTCGTATAATGTTTAGGTTTTACGCATAAAAGTTCCGTTCCGCTTTCGATGATTCGAGTGAAACATAGGTTTATAGTATATTGTACGTAGTATTGGTCTTAGCGCCTTAATTTTGAGGGCAAGAGTTTTTCTAAACATTGAAAATATTTAGCAAGAACTTTGCCATCATCAAAATATTATTAAATGTTTGAAATATCATAATTAGGGATAGTAAAAGTATTTTCCAGTATTGTAATTTCCATGTTATTACAAATACCAATTCTTACCGTAGAAATCTGGTGAAATTTATTGTATCATAAAATACCCACGTATGTTATAATACAATACCATTTATCTGGTTGAGATTTGATTTGGATTGACGCGTAATTCGTTTGTACAGCGTTTGTGTATGTGAAAACACATGAGAGAGAAAGAGAGAAAGAGAAAGAGAAAGAGAGAGAGAGAGAGAGAGAGAAGGCACAACAGGAGAGGGAAAGAGGAAGAGAGTGCAAACAAGTTGTCAAGTAGAATCAATCCACAACGACGTCTCGATCGGCCGGGTCAAGCGGGTAATAAATTTCTACGCGAACCAAATAGGTCGACGTGGATTTGTTCCGCGCTTATAAATCGTAATCTCGAGAATGAAGCGGTAGAAAATCGTGTAACGGTAAGCAGTCTGTCGATGAAACTGACCAGACAATTTCGTAGCTCGAAGAAAGATACATTTGAACGAAAGATACATAGACTTATGCATTAATAATTTTTATAACAGTGAAAGAACTAAAATTACATATTTCCTTACTTTCTAACTTTCACCGTATCAATTTTGCAATTCGAGTGCTCTGAGTGTAGAGAAATTAAATATTCGACGACGCTTTTGGCGATCGAATTCAATTATTAATCACGATCGCTAGCTAGTGCGCTATTTTATTTTTCATTTTTTATCAATCCCACTCGTTTAAAGATACTTTACTTTACTTACTTTACATACTTTGTCTACTTGGAAAGTTACATGTGGTTCACGGACCATCGTACACAATCGTATCAAATGTCAGAAGGAATCATTCGAAGCGAGAGAAAAAAATAGAAGGAAGGAACGCTGTGGCTATCTTCGAAGTGTTTCTCAAGTTATCTTAGCCTGTTATCTTCATCTCGGTAACGGCACTGGAAGGTGCATTAATTTATTTAATGGGAATAACTCATGCTTTGCTTACGTTGGTCACGGTAAAACGTAGTCCTATAAAACGTGTAATTATAGAGGGTTGTTTTAACCTTTTGCCGATGTGAATTGTGAAACGGTCTCACTCATCGATGAGACCGCTATCGGTCAATCGATCGTGAGTTAATTACAAAGGCATGTATCGGTTAATTCAACGGCCACGCGCAGGGATAAACGGTTCTATGACATTTTCATCGATGCCGTTTTCCAGCGATGATTCCTCGTTAACACTACATTCGAATCGACTAAAAGAAAGAAAAAAGCCGAAATATTTCGCTATTATGACAAATGCGTTCTGTCTAGAATCTAAAGGACAAAGTTACCGAAGTACTTGATCCTTTCTCTATCGACCTTAACTAAATGGCAATGCAACGAATGGCGACTGAAAATATATATCGAAATTCATTCACGATGATGATTGTCAGGTGTACTCGAAAAAAACCTAACATTCCGCTTTTTTCCCTTTTTAAACTTCATGTTCTCTTTATCGTTGCGTTTTACACTGAAGAGATTGCCCCTCGATTTACATATTATCACTAATTTGTTATCAAGAACGGTGGTAGATATTATCACTAAGTTATTAAAGTTCGTAGGAATCCATGTTATAAGTAAATAACATCGATTTTTATTCGATTCTAATTAATTCTGTTTATATAGAGGCGTAGTTAAGTAATCGACAGTAATAATTCATTTATTTTCTCAAGTTCATTTTCATCCATACATAGAAGTCTAAGCAACAAACAAAATGTCGCATGAATCAAAGCCTGATACGACAGCGAAAGCATGATCATTCGGAACGCCACCGTGCTGTAAATTTTTTGTATAAATTCGAAATTTAGTCGACTAATGAGATTTTCATTCATCCTTTACACTCTATTTGACGAGGGACCGGTATAGAAGACATGTATATACGACAACATCCTCGCCTCTGTATCCCGGGATCGGCGGTGTCTTGTTTTAGCCCGAGATAACGTCTAGGAAGTCGCCACCAGATAATTTGTCACCCGGCCAACGTGGATATATTACCCGAGTTGATCAAACAAAAGTGTTAAGATCCTTGATCACGACTTCTAGAACCGTGAAAACGACTAGTTCTATAGCTTCCGCAGGGCTACATGTAACCTACGTTTATGTTAATTACAGTGTTTGTAACATAGCAATAATCAGACGCGATAATGAGCGCCAGACGATTCTTCGTGGTAACGGCCTAACTTGTGGCAATGAAAGCAATAGTGACAATGATTTCTTTAATTGTTCGGACGATGACAAACACCGTGATTCTTTTTAGAATTTTTTCATCTGAAATTAATTTTGAAATCAATGGTAATTTTGGAGTATTATATTCTTAATAAACATTCGCACGTTTGCAAATTTTTTAAGATATTAAAGTTCCAAGCTTTTATACTTTCATATTTTCAACGCGTAAAGATTAATTAATAAAAAAGAAACAGAATGGAATTATCTACTTTTATATCATTATGCTTCATTATGATCAAAGTCTCATTGCGAGATTATTTTCGCAATGATACTCCAACTTAATATTTTTCATTGATAAGAGAAGGAATGATTGTTTGTCGGAGACATGGGATCAGCGGGACTGCAAAGCGTGGGTAGTCAATTAAGCTCTCGAACAGCGATAAATCGTCGCTGCTGTTTGATCGGGAGTCTGAATAAAACTTCTTTCATTGACATCATTGGATCTCGGGCACGAAACAACCGTCTGACAGGTAGATTGTAGCAAAACTTGGGCGGGTTTCCACGTTGGAATGCTATTATATTGTTGGGAGAGTTACAATGGAGTGACATTATCTAGCGAAAAGTTTGATAACGCGTCGCGTAATCGTGAGGTCTGTTGATAATTATGTGGCAATATTTTCTCTTGTTGAAACTTTCTGTCTTCTTTTACGATGCATCGAAATAAAAGACTAAAGAAGAGAAATTTCCTAATTGCTTCTTCGTGTCGCAAATATGCGTGGATTTAAAAAATATTTTAATACAGTCCTGTTCTTGTATTTTAATGCAACAAATTGTTTTATAACAATTTCTTGTGACAAATCAAATTAACTAAATTATATATTAAATCAATGTTAATAACATCAAGTAGTAATAACATCAAGTTCTGATTTCTAATAACCAGAGTATATTCTATCCGTAATTTTCACATTCCAATGGTTAATTGAGTAGTTTCAAAGAAATCAGCGACATTAAAAGTAAGACGATTTAAATATACCTATCCATTAACACAGCCTCGCTCTGTCATTACTCGTTATCGCTCTCATTATCGCACACACGTGTCAAAGATTTTGCATATCTTGAAGTTTCTATTTTTTGAACGCTGGTGGATTTCAATGCAACAAACATCGATCCATGCGCGATTTCTGTACGTGATACGCATAAATCATTCGTCATTTACTGTCTAATTAAATATGAAAATACGATTCAAGCAAGATTTAAAAACGTCCCAAGGGTGCTCAAGAATAAACTTATTGCAGTTAAGTTTCTGGCATGCATGCAGTCTAGAATATATCACGCGTGTTACTTCGAATTCGATGACTTTTTAAAATTCTATTTTTATTCATCACGAGTTCCTTATAAGACAAACCGTTTAAAAAATATTTAATTTTCGCTATATCT